CGGGGCGGCTTCAGTTCAATCTAAAGCACTTCTCTCGAGCAGACCGGCCACTCGCAGTCCAAGGGCAGCCAAGCCAAGCCGTGATTGAAATCGGTTAATTGGACTGGTCTCCCTACTCCCTTGAAGCGCAGAAAAGACGACACCGGAAACCATGCGCTCAGTGCCAGAAAGTGACGTCGGTATAATCACGGGAAGGTCGGGTCAACCCACAACTCGATGTAGGGTGAGGGAAACCGCCAACCTCGGGCTTCCATTTGGCCAATGCCACCCCGCGGGATCCGCAACAAGATTACAACATTTTCTGCAAAATTATTTACAAGCGCTCATTATATGCTAAATACTTCATGCGCTTGAATGCGTAATTGGGTCGTGGCCTTGACGTTGCTACTCATTGAGCGAAACTATGGTATGTTACAAACGAAGCGTTATTAGTAAAAATTAGACCCATTCAAGCACGCTAATGATTATGCAAACGACATTGAAAACGGGCATGCTGTGGTCACGATATGGCTTGCTCTGAGTGGGTGTCCCAGCCACAGTGACAGCAGGTTCTAGCATAAAAGACTCAATTTAATTATAAAGCGGAGTTCTATAGCCATGAATTAACTTTTCAAAGGCTCATTTGTAACATGTGATGCGCGATATGTGTGATGTGATTGATGGTGGCGACCTAAAGGTCTCAACTCTCAATAGAAGATATATGCAATACAGATTTCAGATATGTTTAAGTGCCGTGATCGGATCGCATTGGTGGAGATGATTTGGTGACGATGGTGAATGGTGATATGTGGTGACGGTGACAATAATGGTATCGGTGGATCGCAGTGACTGTACGGAAGCGTGGAGGTAGCCGTCCTGACGGTTTCTGGTAGTTCGGTTTTCGGTTCAGGTGCACCTGCTGACCGTTGTGGTTCTACCAAGTCCTTACCTAACCATGAGCTCCCATTTGGCATGCTAACATTGGGTCTAACATGTCATGCTAACACACTCTTATAGGCGAAGAATTCGCAGTGCGAACTGCGAGTGAGTGCAACGACCTGTGCCATGTTCGCAGAAATGGCACATGCCGTTCAACATTAGACACCGCACAGTGTTTTTAGATGTAGACACCTGGTTACAAATACATACAATTCGCTTCCATATTTGCTAACACAACTGCATCAATGTCAAGCAACATATTTATAACAAAGGGCTCCTTTGCAAAACGCTCCATAATGTCGAACTGCGCAAAAATCGCGCCACAACCAGGGCAAAAAAAAAATGAAAGCAAAACTGGCGCGGTGGGTAGCCAGCCACCTGCAGCACGACATATTCCAGGAAGGCATTCTATGTATACCACCAGCGCGGAGGAGGAAAGTGGCGCTGTCGATGGGTCGGTGGAGCGTCCAGTTGTGGGACGCGCTGCTCCGCCTGCTGGCGAGGGCAGCTGAGACAGCGCGGCGCCGCGGCCTGTACGGAGCACGCCGCTCAGGGTCGCTGTCCTGGGCGCGCGCGGTTAGCAGTAAGATCCCCGTCCATCCCCAGTAGCTGGTCACACCCTCCCCATGTTTGATGCTAAACATTTATGGTTAACACACTTCGATAATTATTGCAGCTACAATCAGGTCCAGCATACGCCTGCGCCTTGCCATCGCTTCTAACAAGTAACATCTATCTTAATCATCATACGTTTTACCGCTTTTCTAGCATAATCAAATAACTGCTTATGGAACAATAGGTACCTACCAAGAAGTAGCTCCCGCTGCGCCAAACACGCCATAAATCCCGTGGTAATGGCTGCTGCGTGCTATGGTATTGGTTACCTACTTCTCTGCCCGGCCACCGGAGGCCGCTTTGGAGCCGAGTCGATGGAGATGATATTTGGGCAAATTACGCCAGTCGTCATGATTCCTGTCACATTGCGTCAAACCATGCTCAATGCCATTTGCCCATATATCACACTCAGCTACACAGGAAGTCACCAACATCATCTCCCAATCTCCTTATATAATTTTATAAAGCCAGTCTGCATACATAATTCCGTGCCGTCAAGCCAGTGTCATGGTCGGGCCGTCCCGGTCCCGGATGCCTTTTCCGCCACCTGGCAGTTATACTGCACCGCAAGACATCTGACAGAAATACAGACCCATTTCTATTATAGTAAAGCGAGTTCGGACTCGGAGTCACCTATGAATTCTGAAGTCTGAACTGCATATGTTAGCAGAAATGCACAATTTGTCCAATAAAACGTATGTGCTTGTCAACAGGATTAAAAGCAACTTTGTTTATAAGTAATCGCATCACCGATTACCTATCAAGACTAATACTTGCATAATTTAAATTTCTTCTTATGGTGATAGGTATAAGTTACGCACACACTACACCACAATCCGGCACCCGCTATTTCTCTTATCCCGACCGTTCGGACTTGTTCCCAGATGGTGCCGGTAACAACCGCATCAGCCGCAGGTGCCTGCGGTCTGGCAGGCGCCGCGCTCGACCACTCAGCAGGTATACCTACCGCGCTGCCGCCGACCGGATGCGGCCGCCGCTCCACACCGTGAATCCAACACCATCGGCCTGGTTTGCATGTCCGACCGGAGCAATCGGCTCAGGCGGCTCTGGAAATCGCGTCGGATCGCCGCTCGCCGGTCGGCACCGTCCAATTACCGGGCGCCGGCGCCGACCGCAGCCCCGTGTTCAACAGCACGTGCACGGCGCGAGCGGCGCCCCTGGATGGCCGGCGATGGCGTGACTGACACCGCTGCTTCTTAGTGAGGGTACTAGGTCTCAGGAAGCCCCCTCGTGATGACCGCACCTCTTCAGAAACCTCTCTGCAGGACAGGATAGATAGGTGCGAACCTGCATAATGTAAAACGACATCAATTCAATTGGCATCGAAGTGTAATTAATTCAGGTGATCGTTACCGTACTGCTCTTCTATTTTGTTACATTTGTTTCAATCCACTTGAAAATCCACCTAGTCCTAGACACACTTTTGGCTATATCGGGTCAAATAAATGCTCGTCCCTATTACCACTATTTTCAGCGGATATCTGATCGCAATTCGCATAGCGGAATACCTACATTAAGTTAGTGATATTCGCACGGAGGCCGATAAAGCAAACAACGACATATTCAATAAAGATGATTTAAATCTATAGCTGTTTTCCGTTATACATCCTGTCAAACAAGTGTGAGTGACAAGTGTGAGAACATGTGACAATTGTTCCTCTCTAGCCCGATTACAACCCCTCCCCTCTCCCCCTCAAAAAAAAAAACATGGACCGTGCCATTAGGCCTACTGCAGGCCAAATGTGCACGTGACCCTGTGAAATTCCGTGGAGTTCCCTCAAAATATGGCAAATTTTGTATAAAGTATATTAACCCATCAATAAAACAGAACAGGTATTGATCAGAACCCACACATCCCCGCGACAAAGACATGAATACTGAATAGGAAACACGGAGCATAGCCACGGAGCGAGCCCGGGAGCGAAAGACACGGAAACCCACAGTCCCACACCATCGCGTAAGATCCCCCTACATGAAGTCACCTTCTTCCACTGACCAGCAGGTGGCTAAACAGCACGATGAGTGGTTTACCTCCAAAAATAATATAAGCCAGTTCTGGAATCGGATGGCAGGAGCTCATTTAGTTATGCCAAACTTTGAGATGAAACCATGAAGTGGCTATAAACTGAGAAAAAATAAAAACCTAATTTATCAAGCTACAGTCCGCACGTCCGGAATGGTATCAATCTGAAAGTGAATGCGTAGTAGTGCCCTGCTCAAAGTTATGCCGTATTCCGACCAAAACATTATCACACGCAGAGCCATCGCGGGTGGTCAGCGCACACGAAGGCGTCATAAATGAATACCGAAGTGTCACAGCACCGTCTAACGAAAAGATCACCTGGCCCTCCTGCCGACACACCTGAAGCAGGTTACTTCCCTGAGCGGCAGTGGCCGGCCAGTGGGATGCACCAGTGAGGCCCGACCGTGTCGCAGCGGGCCCGGGCGTAACCGCACCTCGCAGCCGCCCTCGCCGGCGAAACAGGGCCGGCCGCACTGGCGACACCTATCGCACTGTACCAGAAGCTCCAGTAGACAGAGCGGCAGCTCGGCGGCGCTGGGGAGGCGGCCGCCCAGCCGGCGGACGGCCGCTCCGGCGGCCAGGTGCTCCAGGGAAGGAGGCTGATCAGAGCACGGCCCATAGACCGGCTCGACGCCCGCGTTCCCGTGGGTGTCCACCTCCATGAGTTCCATCCGCTCCAGCTGCGCCGGCAGCCACGACAGCCGGTTGTTGGAGACGTTGACGACGCGCAGTCGCGCCAGGTTGGTCATACACTCGGGCAGTGTCGCCAGCTGGTTACCGGCGGCGTTCAGGAAGTGCAGTTTTGTGAGGAACGCCAGTGTGTCGGGCAGCGCGGCCAGCCGGTTTCCGCTGACGTCCAGGTAGGCCAGCTGAGAGTCTGCAGGCCGCTCGGCCAGCGGCTCCAGCGTCTCCAGCTGGTTGCCGGACAACCGGAGCTCGCAGAGCTGTGGCAGCCGGCGGTCGATCGGCGGCAGCCGTGTCAGACGGTTGCCGCTCAGGTCGAGGGAGCGCAGCTGACTGAGGCGCAGCAGGCGCTCCTCGACGCGCCGCAGTCGGATTCCGTTAGCAGTGAGGTGCTGCAATCCCGGCGGAAAGGCGCGCACGTATTCGCCCGAAGTGCGCGCCGTTAGACGCGTCGGCGGACGGCCCATCTGACTGGGCTGTACGCGCTCAGGCGCCGCGGCCGGCGGCGGCCGCTCGCTGTCCTGGCCGCGCGCAGCACCACTCAGCTGCGCCAGGAACGCGCGCACGTGCACTGGATCGCCGGTCACCAGCAGGTCGTGGGCCGGCTCCCGGAAGCTCAGCGACGTCTTTCCGGCGGCCGCATGGCGGGTGAAGACGCGCGTCAGACTGGTCACCTGGTAGCGCAGGCCGCGCTTGTTGCGCGGAGTGTATGCGGTGACCAGCAGCTCGGGCATGCGTCCTGACAGCACCAGCAGGCCCTGTGACTTGCGTGACGACTGTGAGGCGCCAGCACCGGTCCGGTACACCGTCTGCAGCTCACACTTGAGCTTCATGGTGAACACCTATGATGAAAGCAGAAGCCACATTGTCAATTTAACCAGAATAATGACACTGCCAAGAATGTTAAATACCTACCTGTAAAATATGCCTACCGCATTTTTTGAAACACTTCATAACAACAAATCATGAATAGCTCAAAAGCCTCTTACATATACATTTTGTGTAACCTTTCAAAGACATGATAAATTCATATTTTTGGCAGGAAAATATGTTTGACAATGACATGTCTTGCAGATTAACCCTATTCCTGGCGGGGGGGGGGGGGCCTCAGGAGCCCCCCCCCCCCCCTGAGGTCTTTTGGTTATTTCTCCCAAACGCGTTGAGCTAGGAAGCTCAAATTTTCTGACTTTTCCTAAAAGGCTTCTACGCAACATGTCTGAAAATTTTGAGTTGATCTGACCTCAGGCCAGGTCACCAGAGGCGGTTTGGTGACCCTACCTCAGAAAAGTTTGCAATCACGCCAGAGCTAGAGTTTTTGACCGATCAATTTCTTCTCTTCAGGCTTTAGTTAGGGTACCAGTATGTGCAATTTGTATATCTCGGAATTTTGATATCGGTGACCTAAGGTCAGGTCAGTTTCGCGACCTCCCCATTATAAGTCAATGGGGGAAAAATCAACTCCCTGTTTTTACCACTAAAACGGGTCGGAATGGCCCCATATACCATACATGACTTCATATACGATCAACCTTCACTACCTTGAGGTCTGTTTTGCTGTTGGGCAGCTGTGAGGTCATGTGACGTCATCAAAGGTCACCAAAGGTTTTTGGCCAATAACTCCGTACAGGAACAAGATACAGACGCGTGGATGGTCTCATTGTGTTCAGCTCGTCAAGACGCATCGAATGATATACATGATGACCTCGAGGTCACGTGACCTGAGGTCAACCTTTGACCTTGACCTTGCGAGGTCAACATATATATCATTCGATGCGGATTGACGAGAGGATCACGATGATGCCCTTAGTTTGTTCCTATCTTGACTAATTCGAAAGTTATTCGAGAAAAACTCTCTCCATATCTAGCGCCGCCATTTTGACTTTTTCGACCCCTGTGACGTCATCTTTGACCTGACCTGAAAATGACCTTAGTAAAAATTGTAGATCTTGACCGCGCGTATCCGATGCCGTTTACCGTTTGTCGCTATCTTGCTTCGTTCTCGAGATCTCAGGGGGGGGGGCCGAATCGGCCCCCCCCCCGCCAGTTTCTTGTCCCGGCGGAGCCCGCCAGGAATAGGGTTAAGATCCAGCACCTACTGAAAAAGCCAGCTATTGGTACCTAGTGCAATCACCATTTTTTTAGCAGAGGAAACTGATTTGAGTTGAAGTGGCAACAACTCAACCAGGCGTAGCTGTTGTGGAATTCCATATTATAGATTGATAACTTGAGGCATGTTTGAGCGTCCGAATAAGCTTTTTATTTCCACAGAAACCCAATATCTCAATAAGCTTAGCGCATTGTAGCGTCGTGCCGTGAAACAAGGCCGGAGCCGGAAGTTCCGGGGCCACAAAAATCGGCGGAGCGGTGTGTTCGAGGCTGGCGGGGGCAAGCGAGGGCCCGGCAGCGGAGCAGCACGTGCTCCGGTACATCAGCCTCTTCTCGGCACGCACCGCTTGTCTGGGCACTGCTGGCACGCCGCGGAGGGGAGACAGCCGATTCGGTGCACGTACTGGAGCGAGCGGCCCCAGTGGCCCGCCCTCATCTGGTGCATCGAAACAGCGTCGTCTCGGTCCTCCCCGGGGATAGGGAGCGGCAGCGTGCTCCCGGGGAGTGGCTTGAATAGTGACTCGGTCTCGGACCAGTTGTCGCGCGACATTGATGCGAGGCCGCACAATGAACCGCCCTGGTCAGCACATTCCCCTCGATACCGCAGTGGGCAGGAGCCCACTGCGGTATTACTTAACGACGCTCGACGATGTTCAACAAGGCTCTTCACTCTTCCATCATCCATGCCTATCTCTACACCGAAGGTTGAGGCCTAACCTGGGCGGCCGCTCCTCCGCTGAGTATAGACTCTGGGTGGCTCGCCAAGTCGAGCACGCGACGACAGGGGCGAGGACGTCTCATCCAGAAATCTCTCCAGTCTCCACAGCCGCCCACAGGGCAAATCTGCTGCTAGATTGACCAGCGTGCCGACTAAATTCGGCAAAAAATTCTGAGGCCACCCTGCGCTGAAAAATCCAGCCGCCGCTATGCGCATGTGAAATTACGCCGGACGCATGCGAAGTTACGCCGGACGTGCGCTGAAATTTTCGGCGCAATCCTGCCACTACGCCGAACATATACGGCATAACGTGTATTTGTTCCAGTCTGGATAAGGCTGATAAGGGCCAAGGCGTTGGGGGCATTTATTCGCCCAGCCGGCCTATCGAATTTCTGAGCAGGGGGCAAGTCACTCCCTGGTCAGTGGTCACTCTGGCAATTTTGGCCGGGAAGCAATCGTAACGTCAAACTTGAACTGAGACCAGTTCATGTGAACCCGGTAGCAAAAACAACGTCATGGCATAACATAATGTAAGCAAAGCTCAGCAAAGCTAAATGACTCACCTGGTTGACTCACCTGGTTGGGTTCCTCGTCACTGTAGAGTCAGTCATGGGCGAGAATAGGCGAGTGTAGGAAAGGACATTGACATAGGAACCCCTTCGAAGAGACGCGCCAGACCAAGAAGTAGGTATGGCAGTGCGTCAAGCCAGTGATATCGTCTGGGCAAGTGCGTCTTCCGGTGAATTGAGCAGAGTGCATATACCAGTGGTCGGCAGGTCATTCGGGGTCGTGCCCCCTTTTTGGGCGCCAGGCAGGGCCATTACCCCCACCTAACAGACCCCATTGCTGACACAACTATGTTTACTGAAATTCCATACCGTCCTGGAACTCTTTGGGTATTTGTGCATTTCCAATGCATCAAATTTAAAACATGACACTTCCTCCACAAAACATTTAATGCCTATATCCCAGTAGCAGCGGATCACCTTCAATTAAGAGGGAGGGGGAGCACTGCCGACTTTTGGTCCCATTCTTTCCATGCAACGCCCATAGGGCTAATGTTAAATGCAAAAATCAAAGGGTGCACGGTGCCCCCCCCCCCCCCCGTTCCGCCGCCTATGCTATATCCCATTTAACCCTTGTACGTACAGGGGCGGCGGGTGGTTTTTCGTTAAAAGCTCACGTAAAAGGCATTGGATCACGACCAAATTGTACCCTCGAGCCCATCATTTTTTTTTTTCACCAGCCCGGAAAATATCATGACCTGAGACCAGTTTTACCAACAGAAAAATAACCGCCTGCCGGAATTTTTGCCTCAAGACCGCTTCACATACGGAGCGTAAACGCGATGGGCTCGTAAGCGGATAGGGCTTTACCGTTTACGCTCCATATGTGAAACGATCTTTAGGCAAAAATTCCGGCAGGCGGCTATTTTTCCGTTGGTAAAACTGGCCTCTGGACCCATAATGACCGTTGGCTTATGAGCTTTTTCTGGAGATCATCTTGAGCCATAAAATCTCACTTCAAGAAGTTATAGCGGGTCCCGATTTTCTCGACACTTATCATTGCCCTCTTGAATGAGACGGAATGACCAAGGACCTTAAATGGGCAGCAGCGGCTTCCTATGGTCATGGGTAGCACGCTCGTCTTTTTTATGCACAGCTCCATATCAGAGTCCGAGAGGCCGCGGGGGTCCGATCGACTCCTCCCCCTTACGTTAGCGGCTGTTGAAACGCCAACAGACGGGCGACGGTTAAAAGTTGCAGCTGCTTTTGAACGACTGTACGGAGGGGTGAGATGGTGAGGCGAGCAGGTACGTGAAAATTGGTATCTAATCAATAGTGTGCTGTGCCTTTGGCCTGGGCTAATCTTTGAACCCTGGGATGCAACAGTCACGATGGCTACATCACTGGAGCTACAAACTCTAAAAAGATAGGCTTTCTCAGAATCCCTCATTACCCCCAGGGCATATTTTAAGGATTTTTTTACTGCGTCCCAAAGGTGGCTAGGGCACATGCTTCGATCGGAAAGGGCACATACCACATTGCAAGCGAAATAGTAGGGTAAGGTGCCTAATTAGCGACCCTTTCCGATTTGCGACCTACCTCCCTACAGAAAAACTGGCAGGAGAAAACGAGGTAAAAATATCGTCAAAAGGTCAGCCATACTTTGGTTATTAAATTAAATCATTTTCCGGTCGTCGATGTTTCTGGTGGGACGTTTCAGGTGATTTAAAATAAAAATGACGAGTTTCTTATCCAAAACGTGTGTGTTTGGGCCCTCTCTGATGAAAAGCGATGCACATTAGGATGATGCACCTTTTTTTTATTCTGAATCGACGTTCCTTCTTCAATTGGTTGCCGTTTTCCCATAGTGAATCGCTCAACTGTGCACAGCATGGCGGTTAAAAATGTGTCATAACTCATATTTCCTATTTGCGCCCGACATGGTCGCAAATAGCTCAAGAAGGGAAAGAAAGGGGAAAAGAGAGAAATGAAAATGAGGTGTTGCTGAAGCTTGCAATGTGTGGCAGGGGATGCCAAATGTCGTCACCGACTGCAGGGGTGCCGAATTCAGCGCGGACCTCGAATATCATACGAGATAGCCCGCAAAATTTGGGTTTCCGCCTTCTTTTCGCCTTTCGGTGCATCACGTGATCAGTCTTTACTTCCGTAAATGTGTTGGATAGACGTTCCTGTTCGAGTGATTGAGTGCTTTGCGTATGGGTTACCTTTTTGAGATCATATTTCAACTTTTCAGGCGTCGCATTTTTTGCCATTTTTAATATGGGGAAACCCATAGACTTATTAGCGACCCTTCCCGGTCGCTAATCGGGAAGAGTTCCCTTTTAGCGTTTTTTGCAATGGTTTGCCAAAATGCTCACTACAAATAAGTTAGTGAATATTGGGTCAGAAAATGACTATATTTTAATAGAAAAATGCACAATCTCTCCGAAAATCAAGCCAGTAATACAGTGGCACCCACAGAGCGTGAGCAATGACGGTTCAAATTAAGGAGGTCGCTAATTAGGCACCTTACATATAATGCAGGTGAGATACACGTGTCATTGTGTAATGTACCGGTGGAGGGACAGCAAACGGGATATTGGGAGCGGGCTGTGATTGCTTTTGGCCAGTCTCGAAATTCGCCCAGTCATAGCGCGTTCTTTTTCCGCATTCAAAGGAGGGACCGGCGAGTAAATGATATTTTCATTGCTGTTAGTCATTCGTTTTCCTGAACGTCGTTAGGCGTGTTTGACCTCCCTTGATGCACCTAAATGTACCTATGTTTAGAGAATAAAAATGAATATGTACATGGTTATTAGAATATGATACACACGTCACGCGTTTTCCACCCTTATCAATCGAGTCAAAAGAGAGCTTGACGTGTGAAATATTGTCAATTCGCATTTAAGATATTCTGTGTAAGGCCGGGCCCGTAGAAGGCCAAACACAGACGTTTTCAGAAAAGCGTAAGCCGTATAGATACAGTCGTGGATGGAGTTTTGCTGTGATTCGGCTCTCCAAGAGTGCGTCAGGGTACCAGGACCCGGACAAAGGTCATAGTGAACCGGCATCTGATAAAATCCGCTCACCACTTAGCAGCCGACTTCGACCCTTCACCATCGTAAAACACAAAAGCTTGCCGGTCATCAATCCACCTGCATCTCTGCATCTGCTTACTACCTATATCGACCAGTTACTGCAGCCGTTTCGGAGCGGCTCACGGCCGATAACACGCCGGGCGTGCGCTAGCCGCCGGTGCTAAGCGCTAACCACTGAGTGCGCGTGGCCAACTGTCGCCCCGATGGCGCTGGCCTCCGGCACCGGCGCGGCGCTGCTGACCCATGGAGGGGGGGGGGGGGGCGGGGGCTGATAATTAGTTGAGCCGGAATTGGGATAGAAGCCAGTATGGGATTGTGATAGAAGCTCAGCGAGACTAAGGGATTGTGTGGTGCCTTCGGTACGCCCCTCAAAATCACCCGTGTAGGGCCCTCAGGGCCGCCGGTTATAAGCCTAAAGGGACCATCCCACCTTAACATTAGTTTTGAGTTGAGATAGCCAAGTTTGCGGCCAGGCTCAGAAACCACCATTTATCCTGGTCGCAAACCCCGCAGCTTTATGGTGTTCAAGAAATTTCTTCCCTTTACTTGCAGGGTGGGACCAGCTTAGTCCCTATCTCTTAACCATTACGGGAATCTGATGACGTCATCAGGCTTTCGAACGTCCGTTAAATGTTTGACTAAAACGTTTTGTAGCACGCGGTGGTATATGATGCTTTGCGCGCAACAAATGCCGCACTTTCAAATAAAGTCGCTAGGAACAGCGGAGATCCCAAAAAGTAAACAAAAGTAAAAGTCTAATATCTTGAAAACCGGTGAATATTTTTCGATGAAATTTGGTAGATATTCGTTTTTGCTCTTTCTGAACCGAGCGACATCACTTTCATGCCAATTCATTAACTTTTTTGAAGGTGGGAGGGTCCCTTTAAAGGCACTGGTGTGGGCCCTCACAGGTACCGGTGTGATGCTCTCAGAGGCATTGGTGCGGGGCCCCCAGAGGTGCCGCTGTGGGCCCTCAGAGGCGCCGGTGAGGGTCCTCACAGTTCCCGTTGTGGGCCCTCATAGACACTGCAGTGTGGGGTTGTCACAGTCGGGTGTGAGACCCTTAGAGCTGCTGGCTCGAACCCTTTACAGGCCGACAGGGGCTCTCAGAGACCGACAAGGGGCTCTCAAGAGGTCTGGCGTGCCTTCGGGAGCCCTGTGGAGTCCTTAGAGACCAGCAAGGTACACTCAGACGCTAGTGGTGCCCTCAGAGTCGTCGGTGTGGGGCCCTCAAAAGTCACCGGTGAGTGGCCGTCCGATGCGGCTCCGGCGTTGAGCCCCCAGAGCCGCCGATATATGGCCTTAAGAAGCACTGGTTTCGGGACCTCATTCAGGGGTGCCGGTTGCACTCAGAGGTGGCAGTGTTGGGCCCTCAGCTAGGCACCGGTGTGGGGCATTCACAGCCGCCGGTGAGGGCCCTCGCAGGCGCCGTTGTGGGGGCCTTCAACCATTGGTTTAGGGGGTCATCGCAGGCGTGTGTGGAACCCTTAGAGCTGCTGGTCCCTGATAGGCCGATAAGGGCCCTCAGAGGCCGGCAAGTAGCCCTCAGAGGTCGCTAATAGGCCCTGAGAAGCCGGCAAGGGGCCCTACAGGCCGACAAGGGACACTAAAAAGCCGGTGTGGGGCTCTTATGGAGAGAAGTGTGGCTCTTCGGAGCACATAAAGTGTTCTTCCGAGCCCTGTGGGGCCCTTCTGAGTCGAAAGATGCCAGCGTGGACCCTCAGCCGCCAATTGGCGTCGCAAGGCCCCTCTGGCCCGAGAGGCCCCCTGATCCGATGGGGGCACGTGCCCCCTGCTTCCCCTCCCCCGGGTGCAGATAGAGAATGCAATCGGCGGTGCAAAACACAACAATTGCAATCGTTCCTCCTCCCGCCGCGAGGTCGCCCATCCGACCCATATCCCATGATTGTCAACCCTGGGGCTCGGGTCGGCAATGTACCGGCAAGGAAATCAGCTTTAGGTGAGTAAAAAATTATTAAGAGTCATTAGTTGTCGTTACGTTCGTCGTTCAGTAATAACAACTATACGGTGCCAAATGTGCCCGACGTACAGCTTGGAGCCGGGCGCCGCCCAGTCTCCACCAGTGACGTCACGCTAATGCTTAGCGACCGGTCCATTGGAAATCGCGGGATGATTCTACCTCTCTTATACGGCCTTGGTTTCAATGGCCGGGAATCCCCGGAAGGGCGGGCGCCGATTCCGCCCGGGTCAGCCTAACATCCAGGCTCGCACGTCCGCCTCGGCTCCGACAGGTCCAGCACGGCGACTACGCGAATGTGAATCATGAATGGGTGGTGGGCGGTGGATGGTACCACAGGGGAGGGGGAGCGGAGGGGATTAAAGGTGACACTTATGTTGCTTGTGATAACTCGCCTCGCCTCCCTGGGGTCCGCCCAGGACCAGGGATAATCTTCTCCAGCTTTAGCTAGTCTTATATTTGATTTTTTTTTAAATCAATATAAGAAATATTGGATCTGAGGGCAGGGCAAGGAACAGGACTAGATATGCACAATTTTCCCGAAATCCGGGCCCAGCACCGAACCGGCAGCAGCACCGAACGGGTCCTTAAGACGGGAAGACAACAAGGTATCGGGTTTGAGGGCACTGGGCAGGGCAGAGAGGGTCACAGGGCCTGAATGCAGAGCAGGGCGCAGGGCCTGTAGGAAGGGCAGGGCAAGGTACAAGACTATAGGACAGGGCACTGGGCAGGTCACACATCCTAGGGGTATAGTGGGGCAGGACATAACAAGGTGTACGACCCTAGGATAGGGCAGGGCACAAGGACTGGAGAGCGCATGTATGTGCTTAGGTGCAATCAGGGCACAAAGCAATCAGAAAGGCAACATCTGTTGCATAGTAAAAGACCGAGGCATGCTAATTATTTTTGCTTGCACTTTTCCGCTGAAACCGTGACATTTCAGTGTGGGACGCAGTGGTCCAAATTTCGCGAGGGCTACGTCCCAAAGGCAGGGGGCTGCGTCCCAAAATGGGACGCAGTCAGTATGTTAAAATATGCCCTGATTACCCCCACCGAAAGGGCTCCATTACCCCCAAAGGGGGCATGCCCCACCATTTGCCGACCCCTGGCATATACAATACATGTGTCTGTTGCAGTTGTGGGTGTCCTTTTATCAGAGTGATCGGCAGAAGAATGGGAAATAACAGGCACAACATGGCATATAAGCCACACCAGGGCTGCGGAGTCGGAGTCGGTCGGAGTCGACAGTTGTGACCGGAGTCGGAGTCGGAGTCGATTTTAGAAACCTGAGCCGGAGTCGGAGTCGGAGTCACCGAAAATCTGTCGACTCCGCAGCCCTGCTAGGTCTGCGGAGTCGGAGTCGGGAGTTGGAGTCGGTCGGAGTCGACAATTCTGCCCGGAGTCGGAGTCGGAGTCGGAGCTGGTTTTTGAAAGCCGGAGTCGGAGTCTCTTACCTGGTCTCTTACCTGGTTGGGTTCCCATTTGTGTCGGAAAGAAAAGGCAAGGTGGAAGGACCGAAAGGAATTGGAAGGAACCCTGAATGCCAGACGCGCCAGCCCAGTTGTGATATTCTTGACCATTAGTCCTGGGAGTTTTGACTGGTATTGTGCGTCTTCCACAAGCTCGTCAGATGAATACAGTCACATTTCTACACGCTTAGCTACGAGGAAGTAACCTACATACCTATAACTACTTACAAAATCAGCACTGCTCATCCTCAATCATATCTGAACAGGCTATTACGTGCATGTACCTCAATCATTTTCTTAAAGCTAGCTATGTTAGGTGCACGGACAGCATCCTCAGGCAGTGAGTTCCAAACAGCAATGCATCTGACAGAGAAAAAGCGCTTTCTAGTGTCTGTGTGGGTGAGAGTGGGGAAAATCCTAAAGCAGTGGCCCCTAGTCCGCTCCTGTGGAGGGCGGTCGAACAGGTCATCTGGACTCAGGCACGATCTACCGTTAAACAGCTTCCAACATTGTATCAAGTCCGCACGAATGAGCCTCCCTTGGACAGAATACAGGTTCAAGGACTGTAGGCGATCTGCATAGCTTAATCCATTCATTCCATCCACTCGCTTTGTCCACTTCCTCTGAACATTTTCTAAGACCCGCAAGTCTTTCAGATAACCTGTATGCCACAAGCATGAACAGTATTCTATAACAGGTCGGATATGAGTAGTGAGCAAGAACAACATAAATGCGCGAGACCTGCAAACGGTAGACTTAAGAAAACTATGGGCCAGACCGCTAGCCTTGTGTGCAACAGTCCTAATGTGCTCGTGAAATTTAAGCTGCGAGTCGACAGTAACACCAAGATCAGAGTGAGAATCTACATGTGGGATTTGCTGTCCATCAAGGAAGTACACCGGTGAAGGCAAGTTAGCGCGGGGCCTCGCAAAGCGGAGAACTGCACATTTCTTTGGGTTCATTTTCAGACACCACGATGCTGCTGTGGTTTGCAGTGTATCAATGTCTTTTTGTACTTGGACAGAGGATAACACTGGTGAGGTTCCTGGGGCATGTTTCACACAGGCATAAAGTTTCAGGTCATCTGCAAAAATTTTATATTCACTTCTCAGCTGTGATGCTACGCCGTCAATATAAACCAGGAACAACAGGGGCCCAAGGACAGAGCCCTGCGGTACACCACTGCTGACAACCCTAGGTTGGCTTATCATGTCCTTCACACACACCTGCATCTGTCTGCCCTGGAGAAATGAACGTATCCAGTCAATGAGAGCACCTGTCAAACCAATCGATCTCAGTTTGGTTATCATGAGATCGTGGCAGACGACATCGAACGCCTTACTGAAATCGAAGAGAATGACGTCAGTCACGCCACCAAGGTCCATGTTTTTAGACACTGTGTTATAAGCTAGGAGTAGCTGGTCCATTGTACTTCTGCCAGCCCTGAAACCGAATTGGTTTGAGGTCAGCAGTGAGTTCGTTTCCAGGTAATTACGTATCTGCGTGCAAATCAGGCGTTCCATCGTTTTGCACACAACAGACGTCAGACTGATAGGTCTATAGTTTAGTGGATCAAACCGGGAGCCCTTCTTGAAAATAGGTATAAATAGGTATAAGTCGGAGTCGGAGTCGCCGAAAATCCATCGACTCCGCAGCCCTGAGCAACACTACTCTGTATACGAAAATAGCTCTTCTTTTAAAGGGACCCTCCCACCTTAACATTAGTTTTGAGTTGAGATAGCCAAGTTTGCGGCCAGGCTCAGAAACCACCATTTATCCTGGTCGCAACCCCCGCAGCTTTATGGTGTTCAAGAAATTTCTTCCCTTTACTTGCAGGGTGGGACCAGCGTGGTCCCTATCTCTTAACCATTACGGGAATCTGATGACGTCATCAGGCTTTCGAACGTCCGTTAAATGTTTGACTAAAACGTTTTGTAGCACGCGGTGGTATATGCTGCTTTGCGCGCAACAAATGCCGCACTTTCAAATAAAGTCGCTAGGAACAGCGGAGATCCCAAAAAGTAAACAAAAGTAAAAGTCTAATATCTTGAAAACCGGTGAATATTTTTCGATGAAATTTGGTAGATATTCGTTTTTGCTCTTTCTGAACCGAGCGACATCACTTTCATGCCAATTCATTAACTTTTTTGAAGGTGGGAGGGTCCCTTTAAGTCATACTCCAGCAGTCGGTACTTACGTGCACAATCAAATAGCCAACAAATGTGGAAAAATGCTTGAGAAGACCCAAACGTAATCCCTCTTTTTTCTGTAGCCTTCGGAATGGAGTTTTGTGCAACGGTTTTGTGGAGTTTGTTTTGTTTACCATACAATTGTCGCATCTGTGTCATATTTGACTCGTATGGCGGTAAATTTTCCGTATACAAATAAAAATTCTGAGATGAACTTACAATCAAAAATGTATTAAAATTAAAAAAAAAACATCTATAAATTAACTGACGAATCCGTAACTCACTGTTCGTTCAATTTATATGAAAAGCTCGGCGAGGTCGATACAAATTTAATGAGAGAGAGAGAGAGAGAGATTTCTATATGAAATTCACCATAAATCTTAAGCCAATGATACGACACATGATATTTAAAACACATTTCAAAAGTATTCATTAAAAATTTGATTATTGTGGGAAGGACAGAAATAACAATTTTGACAATCATTTTGGTTTAGGGCTATGAATCCTTCACGAATGACGATCCCGACAGCAACCGCGCTGAAACGACCGTGCGCGCGGCCATATTTGTTTTTCGGCTTGTAAAATTTCCTGGGCGGGAGTTTGGGCCGAAATTTCCGTGAGTATTTCCGTGATGAGCCCATTTTCAACCATTGCATGATGAACTGTAGGAAATTCCAATCGTTTTCGTTCGTTTTTATGAGCTTGCTGTGCATTGGTACTGTAGTGCGAGCAAATGTTGCCGGTGGCGTGCTGCAGACCACGTGGTCGCCTAGAGTGGCGCGTTTGATTGCTGTATGTTGATCTAGTGGCGCGAACACGTTATATGGTACTTTTGCACGTGTGGGGAGTTTTGGAAAGGGTGCTGCTGTGCAGTCTGCATTGTCGAGATCATTGGGGGATTAAGGTTTCACATTGAAATGAAATGCCTGATGTGTTGTGGATTGGTCTTGGTTCTTGTGATGCAAGCTGGAGAGGAGGTCGAATATGCTTGTTTTGGTGCTGCCACGTGTTAATGTTAAGGCACATGTTTCATAGCGTGTTGTGACTTAAACCAGTGAGATGTCAGGATGACTGAAGGCTTTGTTAACGTACCCAGACTGTTGGGATCAAGGACATGTTGTAGGTGGCCACAGCCCACTTTCAGCAGGCTGTGTTATTTTCTTATATTATGGAAGGTGGCCACTGCCCACTGAATTCAGCAGGCTGTGTTGTTTTGTTATGTTCCCAACATGCTGTGGCTTGTCATGCCAGTGGTTTGATGCAGTTGAGTTGTTAGCCTATAGACTTGATTAATTGACTAGCATTGTTTATAAAAAATGAGCATGTGCCATTTTGCAATGGGGAAGTGACCTGGATGACAGCTATGTTAAACTCATTTTTACCTGGCCTGTAGATTAACACGCGCACTGCAGCGGGTCTGAGCCAAACACGAACTGCAGGGGGGGGGTTGAAAACAACCCCCCCTGAGATCTCGAAAACGGCGCAACGTAGCGACAAGCGGTAAACGGCGTTGGATAGGTTAACATGAGATCGACAAGAAATACTAAGATCATTTTTGGGTCAGGTCAAAAACGAGGTCACCAGAGGTCACCGAAGACAAAATGTTACGATTTTCACAACAGGAATTTCGCGGTAGTTTTTCTTGAATAACTTGTCTTGCACACAAGACAGAGGATCGATTCGAACGCCATCGTTCTTAGCTCGTCAAGGCGCATCGAATGATATATAATATGACCTCGAAAGGTCAAGTTGAAAATTTGACCTCAGGTCAAGGTCATGACCTGACCGAAATAGGTCATGTTGCATATCATTCGATCCGCATTGACGAGAAAAACACGATAAACGTCGAACGGAGTCTCTATCTCTACTCAATCTCAAGTTATTGAAGAAAAACCGCTGGTGACCTCAGGTGACCTAAGATGACCTGGAGATCACCTTCCAAAGGTCATAAGTGATATGTTTCGGTGAAATCACCAACAGGGACCTGTAATACTATGATCCTGAGCGTATTGAAGTCATAGGATGGCATTCAGAGTAAGTTGAAATTTCTCCCATTGACTTATAATGGGCCGGTCGCAAAAATGACCTGACCTTAGGTCATTGATATAAAAATTCTGAGATATACAAGTTGTAGCTCGTGATGACTTTACTATTTCCTGTGGGTTTCAAGATCATATCTCAACAACTGTGCGCTTGGTGGGATTGCAAACTTCGAAATTTACGTTTCGAGGTAGGGTCACTTGACCTGACCTGGTGACCTGACCATAGGTCACCTGGGGTCAAAATTTTTACTCAAGGTGTGCAAAAGTTGTGAGAACAGGTATGCAAAATTTGGCGGCGCTACGCGCCGCTGTTTTCTCGCAATTTGCGAAAAACCACAGGGGGGGGGGTGAAAACAACCCCCCCCTGCAGTGCGCGTGTTAACACATCTCAATCTGGCCTTGGGTGACATTGGAAGGTAGTAATTGAGCTCTATCTGCATGGGTTGGGAACAATTTTGAAAAGTGTCTGGATGGTATTTACCAGCATTGAACAAATTAAACTTACAGCTCAGACAATTATTGGGGCCCTTCATAAATAAGATTGCCTAAAAAAGGAAGCCTTTAAAATGTTTCTACAAAAGATTATTGTAGGACATGGTTAATGACAATTCACCTTTTAAATGTTGCAAGCATTTTACACCCCTTTTGGTCAGTAAAAATTAATTATTACCAGATGGGGTTTGTAAATAATTAAGAAAGCCTTGATAATCAACATAGATACATACTGTAAAATGGGGTGTTAAGGGACAGTGGGGTGATAAGGGACAGTTGTGTGGGAAAAACTTTGAATCATGTTAAGTTCCTAATTTGAGAAAGTTAAATAAAAACTTAAGTGTGGTAGTTGACACTGTTTTGTTCTTGACTATAAGATAAAATGGCATGGTTTTTCATCCAAGTGATTTGGTTAAAAAATGGTTTTGAAAATCATGCTACATTTTCACAAAATTGAGACATCTCCAAAACTCTGTGTACCACATAAACTAGTAGGTGTACAGGTAAAATGAATGCATAAGTGTATTGTCACGTGTATTGCACATGTTTCCTGAAAACCTTATACAAATCCACCCATTCATTCATCATCCTCTTCCTCTTTTCTGGACACATGCATATTTTGCGGTGGATGTGGGGTGCTAAGGGACAGGGAAGAAAAAGTAAAAAATAATATCTAAATACAATTTCATAAAGTTTTCTATCAGTAGGCATGGAAAACACCAAATTCCACATAAAATGCTGGCAAGCTCATGCTTTCATCTCTAACACATCTTTAGTTATGTAACAAAACACCTCAAAACTCCCTAAGCACTCTGTTTTACAATGATGGGTCAATGAAGACTGATGTAGGTAAATGTGATGTCATCATAAAAAAGGCCAAAACAAAGAGGACAACATAATGACAAGTGACTAGCTTCAAAATGGGTTTTTGTTGATGACAGAAAGATACTTTTTGGTTATATTTACCTTATAATTAGCACGTTTTCCAGAAGCGCAAACTGCATTACATGTAATTGGCTAAAAAGGCCATAAGTGGTGAATGAACCTGACTTGTTTTGTGACACAATATGCAAAACATTTCAATAAATAAATTGTGTGCCCTTTCACAGCCCAATTGTGGACATTTTATGCCTATTTCTTGGAATAATATAGGTGTCCCTTAACACCCCACATTGGGGTGCTACGGGACAGTGATGAAAAATAATAAAAAATAATATGCAGGCATATATTTTTAAAACTTTAATGTAGCATAAGCAGGCCTGTAAAGTACCAAATTCCACATAAAATGCTGACAAGTTGATGCTTCTATCCCCAATTTTTCTTGAGTTATATAACAAAACACCTCAAAACTGTCCCTTAACACCCCGTTTTACAGTAACAAATAAGGTTGCACCTTGATGTGATAATTCCTGTTTGAAGTGAATGAAAGACATGTCAATGCAAGGCCAGAGGTGATGATTGCTGTAATTGCCTGTTTTGAAGTTCCAGGCATGTGGTGCTCTAGTGTCTATGACTCTTGTGCCTATTTGGCTCTAAGCATGCTGTATGCTGTAATAAGTGAATAAATGGAAGAGCTGATCTCTTCAGCTATCACCAGTGCATGATATCATCAATGCGTTTCAGTAAAGCTCCTACCACTTCATAATACTCTTCAGTTATCTAATAAACTATAACTATAATATAAAACTAAACTATAACTATAAACTTCAATTTTATTCCAGGAAATCTCACCATGGCTGAAGGAAATGGTGATGCCACTGTCAAGTCTGAGCCTATTAACATCAAGGAAGAGCCAACAAATTCTGTTGAAAGAACTGAAGACTACCAGAAATTGATCCAACTTGGTCTAAATGAGAAAGTTGCTGCCAAGCTTGATGAGATATACAAAACAGGTGAGTGGCTTTGTGATGGCATTGAATGGTCAGGCTGGGATCACTTAGGATTCCTTTTTTATAATGGGCTAAGCATAAGGCAAGATATGGGCAATGGGTCACTACCTAAGTGACATATGCATGATGATATGGGAATTGCTTTCATGGTTGTTCTGAAACTTGTGTGGATGTGTTGTGAATGGCATTTGGCTCTGATGAAATGAAAGTTGCTATCAGTTATTAAGCATTTTACTGTACTAAGCATTGTATTGCATTGTACTAATCAGCTGCCTCCTGATCCCTGGAATCAATTTCAGTTTCAGTGGTTAGGCAAATGCTATTGATTGCTATTTTGGAGCTTGTTTGCTTGTATGTTCTCAGGTTAGATTTATGGCCAAGGTCAACAGATGGCTTCTGGAGTGCAAAAACAGCTAATGACCCATGAATTATTGGTGCCCAAAAAAACGTCTTTGGCAAAAAGGAACTTTAAATATGCTTTCTGAGATTTGGCTCTTGAAGCAGTGCCTGTAAAACCAACATTTACAGTGCAGATTTTAATGACATCATGCTCCTCTTGAAAAGATCAACTTAAAAGTTCAATTTGGTCAAATATGACTAACATTGACTCTTGGCAGAAGTATTGACTCTTGGCTGCAACAGCTCTTTTGATTGCTGAAGGGACCATTTCACCCTGATATAAGTCATTGATTGGCTAAAAAATGTTGTTTCAGTGTTAGTATTTAGTATTGTATTTTTATCTTAGCCTCTTCTAACAGTTATGTGATTTCACACTTCGATATACCTATTGGTGAACTGTGATATATGACAGATTCATGTCTTTTTCTTTCCAGAAAAGTTGGTCCATGCCGACCTTGACGAACGAGCTCTTGATGCATTAAAAGAGTTCCCTGTGGAGGGAGCTCTGACCGTGCTGAAGCAGTTTGTGGACTCCAATCTGGAGCATGTGTCCAACAAATCTGCCTATCTGTGTGGAGTCATGAAGACATACCGGCAGAAGAGTAAGGCCCAAGGTAAGCTCAGTCCTGGTCACAGGTCAGTGGTGCATCGACCACATCACTGTTAGAAAACAAGAATGTTAATGGATGTTGAAAATTTAAACCCTGTCTGCGCCCTCAGGTATGGTAGTAAAATAAAGGCTCCCATGCATGATCTTTGACAACCCTGAACTTCCAGCTCCATGCGACCGATCCTGACCGTAACTACCTTTGGACATTTATTATATCGATTGCAATGCGGATACGATGGCTGGAAGCCAGAGAGCTTGCTTAGTAGGTAAACACCACTTGAATTGTCCTAACGTGACTAAGATGACGGCTACTACACCTTTTTGCGCCCAATTTAGGCAGTAGTGCACACCTTGCAGTAATAATGAAGATTTCTACAGTGCGTCATACTGCATTCGTATATTGAATCGTGGCACGATATTCGTCATGGTGCACCCATTTCATCGGCAGAGGAAAGTGGCCCAGGTTCAGGCATATTAGACATGGCACACATTATTCGTCAGATCGTTGCAATTTCAGAATGCCACATGTAATATAGGCGCTGTTCAATAAGTCCGGCATTGCATAAAGAAGCGTTACCATTTTTTATACGTCCAACGCTACCTGAGCCTCCAATAACACCCAGAGACAGCAACGCGAAAAAGTCACGTAGCCTGTCTGCCTTAGCTTCAACCATATAAGACATATTGCACATTATTCGTCGGGTGCTTTCAAGTTCGGCGTTAGCAATCTTTTTTCGGCTTAATTCAATCGAATTCGCCACGATTCTGAAAGGCGATAAAAAATGCATAGCATGCCTGATCTTTTTGAACCAGCAACGATGTTGTGCAACCGATTCAGAAGCCCTGAATGCCACGTTACCGTGTCATTGAGTTCTTAGAGCGAGACTAATGATAGTTAATACCTGATTGCTGAAGCTGCATTTGAGCTGCTCTTGACCATGTGATACACAGATTTCAAAAATATTTTCCCAATCCAGCAGCGAATTCACTTGAAAATCGCCTAAACTGCTTCGCGTGACGCCAAATATCTTGCCACATGACAAAAATAAAACCGTGCACTGTGGCGAAATTTAGCCTATGGGCCCTGACTTAATTTGAGTGCATTATCTTCTGAATTGATTGCTGTTTTAGAAACGTGTGCGTTATTACTGAACATCATGCACTCAGTCGCACTAGTGGTGCACTATGCCGAACTGTCGAAATCGGTTACAACTTGCACTATTACCTGAACAGCTATGTGCACTTTTTCTATATTTGGTCATAAAAAGGTGTAAAATTTTAGGTTTAGTGTTCCAAAGGTTCATACTAAACTAAATTGAATATGCAGTCTCCGGACATGTTTTACAGCTCTGGGCTTAAAAAAGTTGGGTAATGCATCAGTCTCTCCCTTTGGCCATCGATGGTCAAGGAAGTTCCCGTTCTCAAGTTAATTGATCGGTTGGTTGTAGCGTTGATCTTAATAATTATACAAAGATCACGGTTGGTTGTAGCGTCGGTTGATGTATGGTTTGCAGCAGGCTCTGTGCCTTGGAAAAGCCTGTTGTATTAGGCGTGAGTATTGTTCAGCGTGTAAGTTACGCTTTACTGACGTGAATTCGCGTCGGCAGGTCCGGCGTATCCGTCCAACCTGGGTCCGGACGAGGAGAAGCTGAAGGCGATCCTGGACCGGACCGGCTTCACGCTGGACGTCACCACGGGCCAGAGGAAGTACGGCGGCCCGCCGCCCAACTGGGAGGGCAAACAGCCCGGCGCCGGCTGCGAGGTGCGTATGGTATCGCATGGCACCGCCATCACGCGCAGTTGGCGCGCCCTAAAGCCCCAACAAACAAACAAACAAAATCGATTGGTCTTCTTGAGACGCACACTGGCAGGGTTTCTTCTTGTTTTCCTTATATCCGTAATGTAAGGTGTTACGTACGAAAAGGATGACGCAATGAAGCTCAGCAAAAATGTAAAGTGATGCCCGGTTTTGAAGCTTTACAAGGATCGTATGCTTTGATTGGCATTTTTAGCTGTTTTTAAACTGTGTTCTTCGTCATCCTATCTTATTATATATCTTAGTATGTCAATATATCAGCGGATGTGCGTATGCTAGGGGTGATTTTGCATACATGCGAAAACCTTTTTTTGCGATGTATCTTATATTTGTATAACAAATCATTTTGGTATGTTTGCAGGCTTTCTGTGGCAAAATTCCCAAGGAGATGTTCGAGGACGAGCTGATTCCGCTGTTCGAGAAGTGTGGTGACATCTGGGACCTCCGTCTGATGATGGACCCGATGACCGGCCAGAATCGTGGCTACGCCTTCATCACGTTCACCAACGAGGAAGGCGCCAGGGAAGCTGTCAAACAGGTATCGTCCAGCGTCTTGTTCGGCAATTTTGTCGAGGCTGCTACGAGATGAAACAATACTTGTACCATTTATAATAACATTTATGTTGCAGTTCTGGAGTTGGCACTCCTGGGTGCCTCGTCATCATTTTACTTCAGAGTCGTCTTTAAACGTTTGGTTTACCAGGTCTCCTCTTTGCCGTGTTGAGTGGGTAAAGTGTTTGAAATGTTGAAAAAGGCGCCTCGTCACCAGAAGCGAGTGCGGATCTGGCGGGGACCAGTGCTGGTATTCGGTGGTGGCCACTAACCATTTGGCGTGCTTCGTTCCACAGCTCGACAATTATGAGATCAAAAAGGGCAAGACGCTCAAAGTCAATATCAGTGTTCCCAACCTGCGCCTGTTTGTCGGAAACATTCCAAAATCTAAAGGCAAAGAGGAGATCATGGAAGAGTTTGGCAAACATACAGGTAAAATTTTGTTTTATTTTCTCTTAAATTGAGTTTTGTGCAAAAAGAACGCAAAATGTTGTAGGGATGAGCCCCAGTCGGACGTGTTTGGGGAATATTATTTGATGATTTCATTTGTCGTGTGCGGTGTGCTGAGGATTGTGATGTCAGTATGGCGGCGACGTGCTAACTTGGCGTGGCGGTCGCAGAGGGCCTGGTGGACGTGATCATCTACAGCTCGCCAGACGACAGGAAGAAGAACAGGGGCTTCTGCTTCCTCGAGTACGAGACCCACAAGGCCGCCTCGCTGGCCAAGCGGCGGCTCAGCAGTGGCCGCATCAAGGTCTGGAGCTGCGACGTGATCGTCGACTGGGCCGACCCGCAGGAGGAGCCCGACCGGGAGGTCATGGCCAAGGTAGGCACCGACTACCCTCTGGTGAATGTACACAGCTTATTGAGATGTCGATATAGAAATTTGTGCCAGGGACAGTCTGAGTCTACACGTTTCTCCAACGGTCTTCTCTGTCGAGTACTCAATATAACCTGATGTTTGCAGGTGAAGGTCCTGTACGCCCGCAATCTAACGCAGGAGTGCACTGAGGAAGCTCTGAAGCAGGCGTTCGAGATCTACGGCAAAATCGAGCGGGTGAAGAAGATCAAGGACTATGCCTTCATCCATTTCGAAGAGCGGGAAAATGCTCTGAAGGCAAGTTGTGTTAATCATGAACTTGTTTTTTGGTTGGGCTGCGCGCACGGTCGTCTGTCTGTTCGGAAGTTGTCAAAGCTGTTTGCCAAATCTACAAAGAGCGCGCCAATTACTGCAAGTTTACCCTAAATGCCTAAAATAAAAATAAGTTCCAGATGACTAGGCTGAAGTGCATGGTCCACTGTTCATGCTCGATTTGTCATGTAATAGGGATGTTTTACAGCTCATATGCCGTTTTGTAAGAAAAAGACGTGTCGAAATATAAATAGTTTTGAGCTCGGCCATGACGTAGGTCAAGGGCAACAGATGACATTGTCTTCCGAGATTTGCCACACGCAAAGTCCACTTAAGCCGTTGTACTGATGTGCTGATGTCTTTTGTCCCATCCAGGCCATGGAGAACCTGAACCAGACGGAGCTGTGCGGGTCCACGATTGACGTCTCCCTGGCGAAACCGCCGTCCGACAAGAAAAAGAAGGAGGAGATGCTCCGCGCCCGCGAGAAGAGAATGATGGACATGATGGCCCAGCGCGGGTGAGTGCCTTCAGCGCCCAGCGTAGCTCCTAATCAACCAGCAGACTCGTCCGGATGCTGACGATCACGTGTCGTGTATGCGTTGCCGTTTCCCTCATGACATCTTGCCCTGATATTTAACGTGTTTTCTCACCTACATATGATAACTGATGGTATTTCTGGTTCTCAAGTATGCAAACTGTTTATTAAGGAAAATTCCGAAGCATCTTCCAGACATTTTGTGCCATACGTTTCGCGAACTTCACGTAAAATTGTCCACTCATTACCAACTGGTATTTTCGGGGCTGCTATATTGTCCCTGAACGAGCTACAGGTGTGTGTGGGTGTGCCTGAGGTTGACTGCGGTACTCTCCGGCTGCAGGTTCCCCATGTTCCCGCCGAGCATGGGGATGGGTCACCACCGCGGCGGCTACATGCGCGGTGGAATGGGCGGTGGCCGCGGCGCCATGGGCCGCGGCGACTATGGTAAGTTCTCCGGGTACAACTACTACGCCAATAACTATTGGTACTACTGACGTGCCAATCGGTGGCGCGGTGTGCCCGCCAATGGGCACTGCGCATAATATGCGCGCCTGACGGCGGCTGGAACGTGTTATGATCTGGGTGATGTTTTATTCGTGCCTGTGGGCGCGTAACGTGTTCGAGCGCGCATTCTCAGTCATCAGACATCAGTAGGGCTGTAGAATCAGACCATGCTCATTGTGGGACGCTATGTGCGTGGACTATGTGCGACGCAGGTTTATTTTTGTAAGTGTGTGGACATGCGTTTTGAGGTGGTAACGCAATACATATTGCATCAATATGGCATGTCCTGTTTGATCTGGGAAGTGTTAGTGGCATGGCTGGGTGTTAGTTTTAACGCTGATCTGGTTACTACTTTGTAAAGTGTTTGTCTCGATTATGCCCGTTCCTTCGCCTCACTATGACTGGCATCTTCAGGCTGGCTGTCTTTCAGATGCACCTACCGGTTTCAGATATGACAACAAAATGGGTCTGGGATGTTATTAAATTATTGCGTGCCGCTTTGGACATGACGTAACAATCTGGTATCCCGTCTTTCTAGATGTCGGTTATGATAGAGATTACGAAGCGTATGGATACGGGGAATATCAAGGTGGCTACAGCGATCCATATTACGACGATTACTATGACGAGCGTTCGTACGGTTATCAGCCGAGCTACGTGTCTGCCAGAGCAAGGGGCAGACCTTCAATGGTGGGTGACCGTTTCGGCTTCAGTTCATTCCGAAATTATGTAGCTAGAGCATTCTGCCTTCTATTGTTTCGTCGTTAAATTGTGCAAATTTCTTTCCACTCTTTCTAAATGCCTGCCTGTCTAGTTGTGTTGGCTACCTCGTGGCTCATCTGCCGTTTGCCTGTCGGCTATAACTACTGCTGCCCCAGTCGAGTTGGTTGGGAGAGCCGCCAGTCATGGTGTTCCGGATCCCGGTCCTCTCCCGCCCGTGCCGCCGGCCGCTCCGCCGCCGCCGCTGCCACACTGCCGCACCACCGTCTGAGAGAGTTTTGTGTTATCATTTGCAGGCTGGCCGCTCGCGTGGGGGTATGGGGGCGCGTGGTCGCGCCGCTGGCCCGCCACGTGGGACTCTCACGGCGAGGGGTATGGCAACTGGTCGTGGAACGGCCACCACCACCAGGGTTATGCGCAGCCGTGGGGCGGGCAGAGGGGCCGTCAGGGGACCAGGCTTACCAGGTCAGAACCGTCTCATTACTCTGCTCCTAACTTAATTTAGAGGTCAGTCCCGCATAATTTAATGGCCAGTCCCAAATCAGTTCATTTTTTTTCAGTTCACCTGGGACTTTTTGTTTTGCTTGCCTTTGTTGTCCGTTTTAATCAGCCTCACACAATCATTTCATTGCTTTGATATTTTGTGTCGTTTCACTATTAGTTAAATTGATTTGTTCTTGTTGCCATAATTTGATCTCATATTTAACCTCGTGAGTAAATTGACTTTTACTGTTTCGGTACCGTTTTCAAAAAGGGGACTGAAATTGTACGTTTTCACAGGTAAGCGGAAATTTGAAGGCGGTCACCAGAACCAGGGGGATCATAAGCGGCGCCAGACCAGTACCAACTGGGGTAGCAATCCGATCCCGCAGCAGCCGCTGCGCAGTTCGCGCGGCGCTGCCGGCGGCGGCGGCTATGGCTATGGCGGCGGGTACGGATCCGCCAGCGATTTCTACACGGACTCGTACGGCGCCCAGTGGTAGGCCGGCCGCGGATCAGTGGTGAACGCACGCAGCGCCCAGCCATGCCACGAGATCTCATAGAGACGGAGATGGTGATGGAGAGACGCGCTGGGGAACGCCGGCCGCTCGGAGCCGGTGCCGAGGCGCCGATCGTTGAGAGGGCATCGCACTGCCGTCGTCCTAACCCGGGTATTGCGAGCACCGGCCGATTTGATACTGTTACATTGTTCAACGCAAATGAAAATTCAAATTCACTTTTCAATGCGGTTAGTGGCATTTTCGGGCGACATTGTGTAACTGGTTGGTTTTGGTTTGGGGCATCCTGCGCCCCCTCGTTCTGGTTCGAGTGGCCACGAAAGGACGACCGACCCTCCCTGTGTACCGGGCTCGTGTTACGACTGAGCTGTGAGCTGTGACGTGTTTTGCTGCGTAGTGAGTGAGAGAGCTCGGTAGTGGAGCTGGTGCCTGAAAGGCGCCGCAGCCGCCTCCCGCCAGAGACGCGGCTGCTTGTCTTTTGTACAGGAGTGTGTGCGCCGCGTGCTCAACGCTTCTACTTCTAACTCGATCTACTTTTAAACGTCCTGCGGTCATTACTGTTTTAGTTAGACCATCGAGTCGGAGACTTGTTGTATTTTACTATCTTGCCCCCATTGGTTTCTTTCGTTTCCGCCGACAATAAATATCTTTCCGATATAATTTGGTTTTATTTATCCTTTACAGCTCCAATCAGTCTCTGGGTATCTTTGACCGGTTGTCTGTTGGTGCGGTGCTGTATTTCGGGCCGGGCCGGGCCGTCTGCTGCTGACGTAGCGTGCGCGGCACCGGCCGCCTGCCCGGGTGCTCGTGCTGTCTGGCGGCGCGTGGCTGCCAAGGTTCTCCAGAAGACCGTCCTCGGGTCAGTCGGGTCTACAGATCGTCGACGCTCTTGCCGCGGCGCAGTTTGGAGAACTCCTCGAACACGATGTCGTCTCCCTTGGCGGGCCGGTCGATGGCGGCGGCCTTCTGGTTGGCGCGGTGCTGCTGCTGCTCCTCGGAGCCCGGCTGCGGGTGCAGCAGCTTGAACGGCAGGTCGGCCATCAGCTCGCCCCCCAGCGCGCCGCAGTTGAGACGGATCCGCACCGAGTACGAGATGACAACGCCGAGCGCGTCCGCAGAGCCGCGGTCGTTGGCCGTCAGCGTCGATGATGCCAGGTTGACGTCAGCGTCCTGCGTGAAGACGGGTTGGTGGGTCAGATTGGCCAGGGGCGAAGATTGGTGGGATCATATGAACGTCTGGCAAAGTGTCAAACTGGAACTCTTCGGGGCGCAGACGTGAACCAGCCCACGTCCCGTCCATGTCTTTCCTTCTGCCTCGTTTCTTTTAGTGTCAGCAAGTGGCGCTGGGCACTTGACCTGACTATTCAGAAGTGCTGGTAGATTTTACTTAATATCTGAGGCTGCACACAATTTCCTTGGATGGATCATGTGCCGAGGTGAAGATACCGGGCATGGGGAGGGTGCAGTGCCCACTGACCTTGAGTTGTCCGTCCAGGGCCACGCCGCGGTCCTTGCTGTTCTTGGCCAGAGGAGTGAGGTGGAATGTCTTGGAGAGGGAGGCGCCGGGCGTGATGGGGCATCCCTCGCGGGTCTCCATCTCTGCCACCACGCGCGTGAAGTGCTTGTTCACCATGGTCACCTCGCAGTGCTGTACGATCTGCGCCTTGATGTTCTTTACCTGCTTTCGGGACGAGTTGTTTATCTGGATCTTGGCGTTCACCTGCGGTGGGTGGATCACGGTATCAGGACGGATCCGCATGGGTGACGCCTTCGCGGGGCCCTCCCTATGCATTCACTCCGCCATATTCATCATGTTACATTTCAACATTTTGGCACTCGTACCTGATCACTGTGGTAGAACACGTCTTGGTCCAGGTTGACCTCCAAGCTGAGCTTGCCGGAGCTGAGGGTGAAGCCCTTGGTGACGAGGGTGCTGGGCTGCTTGGCCTGACGGTCCACAGGGGCGTACTGGACCTGTGGTCGGCACCGGGGGAGGGGAGGTCAACGCCGACCGAGAGAGGCGACAGGCGCTCAGGCAAGGTCCGGTTCCAGGTCTACGGGTGAAATGAACAGAGCGTGTTAGCTTTTAAGATAAATAGCGTGGGGCGATCTTCCACTCTGAAACCCTGACGGTGGACCCCGATCTAGTTGTTGGGTATCAGTCTCCTAAACCAAACAGTCCGGTTTGTTGAACGCCTCCAGCGCTGTTTTCAGGTCGCCTGTTATCCGGATCGTACATGAGCGTGCATGGCTTACCTTGCGGACGACCATGGCGACTGAAGAGCGCTTGTGCGGCTTCTCCTCGTCATTTTCGGCCACGTAGCACTTCATCTCGTAGGCCACACCCAGCGGCTTGCCCTGCGGGGAAACGCGGAACTGCGTCAGCGGACCCGCAGGATTTAGCCATGAAGCTTCTATTGACAGTGACCGGGGCTTATCGCAAAGTGACTGTTGGAGCTTACTGGGAGAGCTCCAGATTCGTCCGACTATTGCTGAGCTTTCGCTTGAATTTGAACCGTATCGTGGGAGTTCGATAGTGATTATCGAGTGCGTAATCGAACGGGCTGTGCTGCATCGAAATAGGGCACCTTCGGCACGCGTGTCGTTGCCAGCGAACAGCTGGCTCTCTTACCGAGGTTCCCTCGCCGGAAAGCAGGGTGACGGAGCAGGGCGCCTGTTCAGGCAGCTGGAACCGGAACGGAAACGCATTGGGTCCCAGCTTCTTCAGCAGCCGGTCCTGTGGTAGTGGGACATGACGTAGGGTCAGCGACGGTATGGGTAGAACGGCGCACACCAGCTGGAATTGAGCAGCTCAATGTAGGTAATTATCCGGCGATGCTGCTCTCGGCTACATGGATCGCCAGTGTATCCCATGATCCCCTGACCCTTCATACTCGTAGTATTGAGTCGGCTTGTTGGACAGGTAGTTATCGGTATTATCCGTATCCGTATCCGTACCTGGAGCTCGCTGACTTCGCCGTTGTTCGCCTGCGGGAAGATCTGCTCCTTGAAGACGGTGATCTCCTTGGCGAAGTTGAGGCCCATGACCTCATCCTCCTCGCGTCCATATCGGTAGTTGACGACCACCTGATGGCGAGACCAAGTGCGGTCAGCGGAGACAGAATGGTGAGAGGTGTTGGGGTCGCAGTTGGAGAGCGAGAAAAAGTAATTAACCCTCGCCCCGTTGGGGGGGGGGCCATTTTGGCCCCCCCCTGTGGTTTTTCCTAAATAGCAAGAAAACGGCGGCGCGCAGCGCCGCCAAATTTTCAGTACCTTCCCGGGCATCAATTTGACACCTTCACACCAAATTTCAAGTCTTAGGTCACCTTAGGTCAGGAGTTATTGAGGTCAAACTGAGGTCATGTTCGAGCAAAAATGAGCAAAAAACATGCAATCTTGAAACGCTCACCAAATCTACAGTTATCAAGCAATTTCAAAGTTCTTTATATGGTCTAGTAGACAAAAAGCGGCGCTACAAAACTGCTATCTCGGATTTTCAAAAATTTTGGTTTTTGACAAAAAAAAATTCAAAAAATTGATTTTTTTAGAAAAACTTTGAAAAAATCCAAAATGTTTCCGAATTTCGAAAAAAACCGGAATATATGTGATAGTCCCACCGCTCTTCTATATACATACCAAATTGCAGATCGATATCTCGTTTTTTGGCCAAGTTATAGCGAAAAAACTGTTCAAAAATGATGACGTCAAATTTTTGAACTCAATTTTTAGCAATTCTAGACCACGTACGGCAAAACAAAGACCACTATTGAACTCCCCGTGACAAGCTGCATCGATTCGATACCCATTTTATGCAAAAATATTAACTTTGAAATTTGACCTAATTTGACCTGACCTTGACCTGACCTTGACCTGACCTTGACCAAAACGTGATCTAAGCTGGCCCCAAAGGCTGCCTGACCCATATAATCACATTTGTCATGTAAAATGGACCATAAAACATGTATCACACGACACTTTCATATTGTGACCCCCCCGTGACCTGACCTCTGTGACCTGACCTGGTATCAGTGACCTCAAATAGCAAAATATGTGTTTGAAGAACATTTCCCCATCGATGATTTTCAATGAAATGCATTTTACTCGATTTTACAACGCATTTCTTGAAGTGCCTGTAAACGGTGAAAATTGGACCTTTGACCTGACCTGTGACGTCATCGGTTTGACCTAGGTCAACAAAATTGGGTCACAAGGTAGTTCCCCGTTGGGGCTATCCAACGCCGTTTACCGCTTGTCGCTATGTTGCGTGGTTCTCGAGATCTTAGGGGGGGGCCAAAATGGCCCCCCCCCAACCGGGCGCGTTGCTCGGCAGAGCCCAACGGGGCGCGGGTTAAAGGGACTTGTCTTTAGCAGATCATTCAATCCTGTGAGAATCGAGCTACATTAGAAGCTTTATGAACGGCTTTGCCTGTAATTGCGGTACAGATTTCCCTAATGAACCGCTCCGTGTACCTATCTTCAACAAAATGTCGCTGACTTACCGATCCGTAGACCTTTCTGCTCTTGATGTATCCATCTTCGACGACGATGACGCCGTCCACCGGATCGGTATGATCCAGGCGGTCGACGAAATCGCGCCGGCCCAGATAGACCGTTAGTTTACCTGCGGCGTGATCGATCGTGAGTGATAAAAAATATCATGGCAGCAAACTTCGCAACGGGACTCTACCTTGCATAGGCTTAGGAACAGGGGTGGCGCGGGGGGCATGCCCCTCCCCCCCCCACTTTTCAGCCATTTTTTAAAGCAAAATCTTTATTTTTTGATTTAGATACAATAATAAGAGCAGAAATGGTCAGCAAGGTGAAATGAGCACAAAACTGCAAAGAATTTCTTCGTAGGGGCACTGGGGCTCCCATAAAGTGACATTGACGTTTCGCTGCCGGGCTGCCCCACCCACTTTTTGTGAGGCTCTTACGCCCATGCAGTACCTTGCATAGACTCCTGGCCTATGCAATGGATAATGAAACTGCCGATCGACTTGATGCATTGCAATTGAGTGTCGTCACGGAACCAGCGCCTTCATTTGGAGGCTTTTTCGCCAAATAAAGGTTCCTATCAGTGCCTTTAAGGGGAGGAATAACGAATAGGTAAGTTAGCAGCAAAATTATAAGGAGTTTGTTATTTCAAGTGCAAGGTGATTTGTGACGAACTCCAAAAAATTTCATTTTTAGCAGCACGAGCTACGTTCCAGAGAATAGCATCAACTCGCTAAGATTGGACTTTCAGTTTTCACTTGTTCATTTTTTATGCACAGAAAGGCGCGCCAAAAGACATGAGTGGACAAAGCGCAAAAAAAAATATTGTGACGTAGGATTAAAATTTGGAACCTTTTACAGCTCGGTTGCGAGCGCCGAGTCGTCTCCAAAAGTATGCCGAGATTGTAAGGCCCACGCAAGACTTTAGTTTTGATTTCGGCGAATGTCCAAGTTTTTAAGATGACACAAATACGTGGACAGCAGATTTACAGGAAGCACACTTTTACTTCGCAAGACTTTCACGGTGTCTTTGAAATTAAACGTTCCCTGAGCCCCCACTAAAGGCTAGAAGCAAGAAGTTCGTGGCACAACCACGTCGTCTCGACGCTCCAAGGCTCAAGCCCTCGGATGGAGGACGGGCGCTACTCACCATTAGGACTGGTCTTCTTGAAAACCTTGACAGCCACCACCATGGGAAGGTCGGGGAGCGGAGGTGTCTCCTGTATGTGTTCTCACAGCCGCCGAGCTGGTCGGATCACTGGCGAAACCCCTGACCGGCGGTACCGCTATATACCGCGCCGCTAACTGGATTGGCCGCGGTGGCGAAGTCGCAGCAGTGCCGTCCCGACTGCTCGGTCGCCTCTCGCGGAACCGCGGGCCGCCGGCCAGCCGAAGACTTACCGCGACAGTGGGCTGGTGGGAGCTGACGGGTGCGCAGCCACCAAAGGGCAACTGCGAACTTGGCTCAGCCGATCGCCTCAGTTATGCGTATATTGCAAAGCATCAAGTACGTGCAGCAGACTATCCCCCGTGTGGTTCCTAATGTTCACGGCTGTTTAGATCCATGGATTTATCTCGAATCGCATTTCTTATACTACGGCTACTATCGGTGTACGTTTATTAATATATTTTCCGACTTAATAGAGGAAGGCACTGATTGATGAAAAAAAAATCACAATAAAGCCCCATTCAATACAGTAGGCAGCTGATTGTCTTTGATCGCTATTGAACGCGTCGCATGAACGAAGTTCAGCAAAAGGTTTATATAAAACACCGTTCATAAACTGTCACAATCAAAACTTTTTCAGTACAGCCACTGATCTTTTTAAACGATACGTCGGACGAACATTTTCGGTTATCACTTTATTCCGTTTACATATTGGAGGGTCACGCCCCATCCATGTGTAGCTGTGGAGCCGCGCGGGCCGACCGACTCGGCGCGCTCAGCCGGCGGAGCGTAGCAGGGACGTGGCCGTGTTCGTCACGGCTTCTCTGGCCTTCACCAGCGGCTCTGTGACCGTCTTTGTAGCCGTGCCGAGCAGTGAGGCCGGCCCGCCGCTGTCCGTGGTGCCGCCGCTGCCCGACAGCAGCCGCAGCCGGCCGCCCTGCTCGCTGGCTGTAGAGCTGCTGCTGGCCCGCAGCGTGTACGCGTCGCCGCTGGCGAACGGCACGCCGCGCTGCGAGTGCGTGGTGCGCACGTGCTCGCGCGTGGTCAGGTTCATGCGCTCGATGTAGTCCTGGCGGCGGTGCACGTGCAGCCGCAGACCGTACAGGTTACGCAGCAGACCTGTCGGATAGGAAAACGGTTGATACACTTGCAAGCTGGGGGGCTAGCTGGCTGGGTTACGGACGGGTCTTGGTTACGATGATATGGGGTTACTCCTGGGATTAAAATTCATCAAATATGGTGCTGGGGCCTGGGATGTTACTTTATTCATCCAACGAGCCACGAAGGAGCAAAGAATCTCCTTTTTTAGTAGTGACGCGCAATTAAAAAAGCAAAAAGCTATGGATTCCATGGTGTCTCAGATATTCTGAAGACTTCCGAGTAGGTACCGATTAGGTATTGTGAGCTGATGCGAAGCTCAGCCTCTACAACATCTATTCCACCCTCGTGGATCAGAGTCGCGTGGTGATCGGCCTATCCAACTTTCGCATGGGGCGCCGGGTTTGTGGGCCATCCTACCTTTGACGAAGCGCGACTTCCACCTGTCGCGGGTGACGCCCTCCTTGCCGTGCCAGCGGAGCACCGTTTTGGCCGCCGCTGTGTCGGTGCTGTTCAGATGGGTCCCTGTGGAGGACGGGCGGAGAAGGGTGTCAGGCGCCCGTCCCGAGGAGAGCCACGTCGGGCGCACGGCTGGACACTACAGATACAGTTACGCATCCAGACACTTAGCCGGCCATACTGGGCACATAACTAGCGTAAATGGTTCATTGCAACTGGTTGACGAATGTCAACAGTTGTAAACCTGCACATTGCACAATGCTCAGCGCATTATGTTGAGCTAAACATCCCTTAGGGCCAATTTGCTGATGCATTTCCTTACGTAACATATTTTAGCGGCCCGAATAAAATTGATAAGCTACTGAGCTAATCAGAGGGCCGCCAGACGAAAATTAAATTACTCGCAATAAGGCACACGCATTTACCTCGAATGCTGCTGGAGTTGATATTGGCCTCCATCAGTTCACTGTTCTTAAACTGCACAACCTTGTTTCCTTGATTTTGTGCCTTTTGTAAGAACTGTTGGATGCTCGTATCTGTGAAGAATAAAATACATTTGAATGGTAGAATTAGGTGTGGGTGCTGTCGTTATGAAAGACTAATAGCTTGTTTTTATAGCCATCGGAAACTAAGCTCAGCAGCACAAGACTGCAGTAATTCGCCATTACCCATAAAATGCTCAAAGCTCGACCTCCATATCTAGAATCGATTTAAGTCTCATTTTATGCACTACAAAGTACAAATACAGTCAGTGGCGCAGCCAGGATTTCGTTTCGGGGGGGTCATCGCTTCCAAAGCGGGCCCCCTAGTGTGCGGGCCCCCACCCATTTTTCAGAATCTCTCCATATTTCATACGCATTCTGCTGGGCGGGCCCCCTTTACCTGCACGATAACCCTGAGCGAGTTTGAATCAGAAAATTTGCATAGAACAGTAGCTCGGTAATCACCCGGTCTTCACTTTTTACGCAAATTGACCACGACAGAAATATGTTACTATGACGTATGACTTCATATCTTTCGAGTCCGATATGAGCCCCAATTCCGCAATATGCATAGCATATTATATGCAATCGGAACTGTTGCCTGCTTCTGTCGCACAAGATTTAAAAGTAGTCCCATGTGCCTGTCCTAAGTCATCTATTGGCTGCTGTAGTAGATTGTGCTTTTATTCTTCTTCATTACGTGAATTCGCTCGTAAGAAGTTTTAACCCTCGCCGGCACAGGGGGGAGGGGTTGATGCAACCCCCTAAGGTTTTTTTCGCGAAGAACTCGCGTAAAAAAGCGGCTGATCGCGACGTAATTTCCATAGTGCGCTGAAATTCGCGCAACTTATAGAACAAGGATGGGTAACGTGCCTGTGAAGAGTCACAGCTCGATCGGGCCGGTGGTGAGCACATGGCGCGTGCTCAAAAAGTGCAAATTCGCGTCATAGACTTTACATGCATAAATCGGCTTGCAAAAATGGGCGACAATGGCTCAACTTGCCCGACACGGGTCCGGTCCCCGTGCAGTATCTCGGTCACCGTGGGTCCGATCGGCACGAGGAACACAGTATCGTGCATGAGAATCGAACGGGCTATCGAATGGTGTGCGGTGCAGGGATGGCACGCGCCACGTGCACCCGTGAGGGCACTTATGCTTGAAAAATTGACGTTTTGGACGGATTTTGGACTTAATGCTATTTTTGGGTGACTGTTAGACGGAGCGGGTTCAAACAACGCTTGTTGGCAAGAGAAATGTACCTACCGCCTCTCATGGGAAAATTGTGAAAAGCTAATTGATCAAAAACAAGGTGGAACAAATTGCTGGAGAAAATAGCATTTGCTTATGACTTACTTAATTACAGGGGTTTTGCTACATAACCTGGTATGTTTGACAATTGAAATGGGCATAGATTGGAAGAGCATTCAATTGTGACCAAGGTCCAATCATCGCTTTTGCATGACGAGCAACAATATTCTTAAGAATATAAATGTTTCAAACCTCTACATAGTAATTTATCGATGGCTTTCACTCTTCAATAACCTACGCCAACCTATGTCATGAAATACACTTGGCATGTTCTATAGTAGAACGCATGGTTATTATCAGACACGAGCACCTCGATGCGATGGATATTTTTTCCCAAAACCAAAATGCTTAGCCGTCAAAAGGCAATCGACCGTAATGGATACATAACCCACAGACACAAGACCAACCAAACGCCCACCGATCGAAAATACCCCTTATTCGCGTTGCGAAGCAAGCGGGTCACCCTAGCGGGCCCCATTCACCCGGGGGCTCGGGCCCTATCCACATGGGGGACCAAGCCCTATCCATACGGGGGCCCGGGCCACGTTCACCTGGGCTCCGGGCCTCGTCCACCCGGGGCTCCGGGGCCCGCCCACCAGGGGGCCCGGGCCCCATCCAGCCGGGGGCCCGGTCCCCGTCCACCCGGGGCCTGGGGTCGGTACTCCCGGGGGCCCGGACCCATCCATCGGGGGGCCCTGGCCCCATCTACCCGGGGGGCCGTGCCCCATCCACCTAAGGGGCCCGGGCCCGTTCTCCCGGGGCCCGGGCCCCATCCACCCGGGGGCCTGTGCCCTATCCACCCAGGGGCCCGTGTCCTATCCACCCAGCGGGCCCAGGCCCGTTCTCCCGGGGCCCGGGCCCCATCCAACCGGGGGTCCGGCCCCGTCCACCCGGGGCTCAGGGCCGTTCTCCCGGGGGCCCGGGCCCCATCCAGCCGGGGGCCCGGGCCCCCTCCACCCAGGGGGCCCGGGCCCGTTCTCCCGGAGCCTCGGGCCCCATCCACCCGAGGGGCCTGGACCCGTTCTCGCGGGACCCGGGGGTCCGGGCCCCGTCCACCCGGGGCCCGTTCTCCCGGTGGCTCGGATCCATCCACCGGGGCCCCATCCGCCGGGGGGCCCGGGCCCTATCCACCCGGGGGCCCGGACCCATCTACAGGGGGCCCGGGTCCCATCCACCCAGGGGGCCGGGCCCGTTCTCCTGGGGGCCCGGGCCCTGTCCACCTGGGGCCCCAGGCCGACCCCTCACCCGAGGTGTCGCAGTGGGCATTTCTCGAAGCGGGCTCGTCCGATTAGATTAGGACCTCTCTCTCTCCTCTCTCTCTCTCTCTCTCTCTCTCTCTCTCTCTCTCTCTCTCTCTCTCTCTCTCTCTCTCTCTCTCTCTCTCTCTCTCTCTCTCACTCTCTCTCTCGAGCGGGCCCCTGACAGATATTTCGGGGGGGTCAGCTGACCCTCTGACCCCCCCCCCTGGCTGCGCCACTGAATACAGTGCTGACTGCTGAGTACCTACATTCATGAAGGCTGTAAAAAAAAAAATCATATGAAATAAAATCCAGCTCTAGCTCAACTTGAGAAGAGAGGCAGTAACCGGAGGCAATAGACAGACGGAGCGGGAAGCGTCACTCACGCTGTCGGCCGCGGCAGAAGCGGCCCAGGTGCTGTGTGTGCTGCATGCCGTCGTAGACGCTCCGTCCCCCGTCGGGACACTCGCCGTTCGTCGTGATGACGCCCATGTCGTTACCGAACTGGCCGCCCTCAGACGAGCAGAAACAGTTGCCGCCGCTGGAGAGAAAGTGAGAGGATTAAAACCGTCTTCGTGGCCAGCTTCTGGCTACCGCTGATATAGGGGACTGCACTGGCATGGCATAACTGTCGGTCAAATCGTTTCCAAAATGTACCGGGATGTGAACCGATAAACGGGTCAAGTTAGATATATCAAATGGATAGGAATCGGTGGACGGGTAGTGTCTTTCGGAGCAGTTTTGCATCGCGTTTTCCCATTCCCCGTCGTCCCCACTTACTCATATATTGCGTAGAAGAGTTTTTTGTCCATGAGACAGGAGCATAGGCAGGTGAAGGGCGATCCGCGAGCGGCCGAGTCTCGCGTCCACCCGGTCCAGTTGGCCGGCCCGTCATAGCACTGGCCCTCCACGTGAATCTCCACTGGGGCACGACACGCGGGGCGTTACAGTGTTGACGACTGGACGGGGGCGTCGTGGTGTAAACCCCGCGAAAACCCAGAAGTAATATTTATGGACGTTCGTGTACCGCGGGATCGCTTCGTTGTGTTTGGTTGGCAGGCTCAGTCTCGGCTCGGCGGAGCTGGCGACTGCCGCCTGAAGGTTAGGCTGTGCCGCCGCGCACTCGGGCGCGGCGGCACAGTATCCAGCCGAGTCGCAGGCCGGCGGACGGACGGAATGCGTCCTACGCCGGTCCTAAGCACGGATAGTGACAATTCGAACACAAAATCACCGAACTTGAAGCAAGTATAAATATGACACAACGAACATAATAATGGGAACCAAATAAATCAATACCATACAAAAGCAAAGCATCTAAGGAGATGCTGCATCGAAAATTGCATATGACTTACATATGACGGATCTTCCCTCGTTTCGCTCGGTGGCCTTGTTTATCTTATTGTTCTGTCGATTCATGCGCACATCCATTGACATCGAGTCTCCGAATGTTTGGTTCACTGGAAGAGGTGGCGCCAGTTGATTGATCAAGTGGCACAAAAGCAATGCTAATAGCGAAAACAGCAGCGCTCTTGAAGGTTAAAATGTTTTGCTAAGCAACATCATTTAATAATCCGAATTTATCAGCAGGTGACGTGACTGGTCTGCGAGTCGCTGTCTCACCTAGCAGATCCTTCTTCAGCATGTCCGACGTGACTCGCGTGGAGCGAATGGCGTTCTCGTCTACATCGTTGGTGAAGCTGGACGCGGTCTGCGTGGTCCGGTGGCCCTTCACTGAAACAGGCAGCACACACAGCCCACTCGGTATTTACGGGTCCCGAGAGTGATAGATGGATACGAGGGAATCGATACGTTGGAACCGATGATGGAACGTTGTACTGTCAATTACGTGTCATCCATTCTGAAAGGCTGGTCTGTAACAAGCGAGCTGTCAATGCAAGCCTGTGAATTTATTTCCACCTCAATAAAAACAACCAGGAATACGTGTGACCGAAATAAAAAGCACAGTCGGCGTCTGCACGTTACCGTATTGTTTCTTGTAGCCGTCGACAGTGAGCTGATCTCGCAGCTCCTCGTCCATAGTCAGGTTGCTGTCCTTCACAGAGTTGACAGAGATCTCGTTCCGTCCAGCTGCCGCGAGAGCATTAGTCACTAGTCAGCATGTTTATTGAATGGCGTAACCGGTATGTAATACAAAACAGACGATTCATGGTAAGACTGGTAAAAGGTCTGCATAAAAAGTGATGTTGAAAAGACAATCCGACTATTATAGTTAAACGTCAGTTGCGTTACGATAGTGAAGACAGGTGCTAAGTGCAAACGTTACGTGTCTACATTACCTACCTTTGATGTTGTGTTGCTCGCTGGTCTTCAGATCCTGTTCGCTACGTTCTTTCTGTACTAGTTTTTGAGAGGTGAGGTCTGCAGTTCCTATCTGTCCACCTTGGACCGAACCTGAAACGAAGCGAACACAGCTTTATATGGGTAATGATGTAAATAATAAACCAATTAGTACAAATCAAATATATTCAAAAGCACACAAACTATGTGTGTTTTTACTAAATGTGTGTTTTCGAATATATTTGATTTGTACTAACAGCTTTATATGTTGACGATTTGTGGGAGGCACGTTGCAAACATATCCTTTTTCCAATTTTTCGCCAACATGAGGCATTTAGGTACAATAAAAATGACTGATGGGTACACATGACCGAAGAGTGACGGGACAGGTTTCGGTAAGTTTTCTTTCTGCTAGCTTTCTATGTTCTAGAGAAATTAGAAGAGGAGTTAGACGGCGGAGTGCGTGACGTTCGAATCCCTCCGCACTGACCGTCTCTGGTGAGGTTGCTGGAGTTCTGGGTGATGACGGTGACGTCCTGCACGTCTGTGACGGAGAAGTTGCGCCCGTCCACCACCGATGAGAAGTCGGGGCCGTTGGTACGCGCCTGGTCGGCCGACTGCGTCTGCACAAAGAAGCCGCCGCGGATCGTCCGAGAGCGGGTCTGGTTCGTGTTCTTGACGGTCACTGCGGCAGAGACAGAGGTCAGAAAACGACTTGGAATCCAGTGAAGAGGGAGGGAAACACGCATCAGCTCGGCCAGTCTGTAATCAGCGCTTACTCTGACATTCTCTGCGGGCACGTTTAGGCTACATTGGGACGCTCGTGGTTTAAGGTAGTGAACACAACTACAACTCACGTTTGATCCACGGCTGGACGCTGACGTTCAGATCTTGGTCCGTCTTGGTGAGGTTCGCCTTCACGATCCATTCAAACTTCGGTGGAACGTAACCTGCAGGAATGGTTTTTCTGCTTTATTGAATATTGGACGATGCGCAATTACGTCCGCTGTTGTCCGAAATCACAAGTCCAGGAATCCATAGAAGTGGCAACGGCGTAGTACTTTTTTGAAGCACTTTCACTCACAGTGCGTGAATGGAAAATAAGTATGTGCATTTCATGATGGGTACCGCACCATCCTTTTAAATAATTTATCAAACAATGTGTGGTGGATATTAGAAAACATAAGGCTTGAATCCTGAATTATGAAAGTAAACATCTAAGTTTACCAGAAACTTATCAATAGAAATTGCCAATTGGCTCGTAAAACAATACGGCGCCATACCTTTGGAGGCTTGCTTTCTGTGGACGAGTAAGAAAACGCGAGCGTTTTTCACCAGCGGATTGCAGAGCTTATCTGTCTTGACATTTGGCGATCCGAAGCCGCACTCGCAACCATTCCTGGTGATCATCGAACAAAGGACGATTGGTCATTACTTTTCATGGCAGTTTATTTCTGGAATAAGTTGAATAAGGTAATGCCTCATCAACTATTTAACACCCGTATTCTTATAATCTTATCTTACATGGCCTTGCTTATAATAAGCATGCATAATTTGACAGCCACGTGTCTTGACCCCTGCGAACCGTGTGACTCACACTCCGAGTATGATGAGGCTGACGCCTCTCTGGTCGTTACACGTGTTGACGCACTGCTCTAGGACGTTCGCTCCCGGCTGCACCTCCCACTGAACGCCGCTTGGCCGCTGTCCCACCCAGCAGACCCGCTGGTGTTCCGCTGCGGAGAGTGGACAGGGGAGGTCATTGCCGGGCCGCTGTCCCACCCAGCAGACGCGCTGGTGTTCCGCTGCGGAGAGTGGACAGGGGAGGTCATTGCCGGGCCGCTGTCCCACCCAGCAGACGCGCTGGTGTTCCGCTGCGGAGAGTGGACAGGGGAGGTCATTGCCGGGCCGCTGTCCCACCCAGCAGACGCGCTGGTGTTCCGCTGTCGAGGCCGGATACAGCGGGAGGTCACCACTGTTTTCACTTCACCATTCTTACCAAATACGAAGGCATAACTTCATAATTCCATATGCATTACAAAGCAGTAAAAAACGATAAAGCTTTGTCAATCCGCGGCTTGTCAGGCTCCGCTAGACAACCACGTCAGACCTACAGTTAGAGTCCCGACGTTCATCCGTCATCAGCCACCTTTATATCCACACGCGTCCGTCCAATTCGGCCACACTAACTCACGTTGGGCGGTGACGGTGGCGACGTTCCTGGTCCAGACGTCAACCGACAGCAGTGAGTAGGCCTTCGAGTCGTCACCAGCGTCCTGACAGCGGGCCATCGGCAGCCGCCGCAGCTGGCCGTCCTGACTGCTCCCGCACAGACAGCCCAGTCTGGCGGTATAGCGCGTCATACGGGCTGTCACACTCATCGCCCAGTATTGGGGTTTCAGGGTCTGCTGAGGTCATTTTGCGTCTCAACGACCGTCACACTCCCAATCGGCATGCCGTCGTCAGACCATTATAAACTTACGTAGCTTAAAAACATTCAATGGCGGATGGACATTGGATAAGCTCGATCACAGCTAACAGAGCCCATCTCGAAGCGAAATATGGTCGACGCTCACCTTCCAAAAGCTGCATACTCTTTTTTGTCGTCCTTGCAAAGCTTCATACACTGGTCGAAGAAAACCATCCTGGAATAGATCTTCCAATGTTTGGGCTCACTGGTGCAGTGCCAGCCCTCAGGAACTGATGGAGAGACGGGTTAGATACCATAAATGGCACCAAGCAGAGTGCAGTGCCTAAGTGTCAAACCTCGAAAGTGGCTGACAGACACGGGCTTAGTACCGAGTAGATACCAAAATGCAACCACATCCTCAGAGCACTGCCACTCGTTTATGTTGACCCAGGTCGTCTATAGAAATTACTCTACTTCACTTACAAAGGTAATTTAAAAGAATGTCGGCGATCCGTGCGATGAGGCACACCGACAGGCCCAGACAGCACACAGCAGCAATGCTGGGTTCATTGTAGCTAGCTGGTGCTCACCGTTGACGAAGCCGCGTTTGTCGAGCATCAGGTATCCTTGCGAGGGGTTGTGTGGAGCGTTGGCGCTTTTGACCACCCACTCGTTGACGTGCACGTTGGTGACGCCCTCTCGCAGGCTACCACAGAAGCAGCCCTCCCTGCGGAGTGGAGAGAGAGAGAGAGAGAGAGAGAGAGAGAGAGAGAGAGAGAGAGAGAGAGAGAGAGAGAGAGAGAGAGAGAGAGAGAGAGAGAGAGAGAGAGAGAGAGAGATATCACTTTTATCGAAAGACTTACACGCCATCTTTCATCAAGGCTTTGGCTTTCTTTTCCAGTGACATCGCAACTCCCCGGATTTTATCAGTGCTGCGGTGCCCATGGTGCTGCGGATCTCACCGAGTATACTGTCCTCTGTAAACCACTCAATATTTGATACATAGCCCCGCCCCTCCGCCACTCACGGTCCGACGGCGACGAAGCGCCGGTCACAGTTGAGCACACACTGCTCCAGCTGGGTGATGCCGAGCAGCGAGGTCCAGAAGACGCCCGGCGACCGGCTCGACACCCACCAGAACACGTAGTCTGGCGGCGGAGACAAGGGTCGCACGGAGGTCACAGGGGTCACACAGAGCTCACACAGGTCACACGGAGGGTGTATAGGTTAAACAAAGGCTACATGAGGGTCACACAGGTGACACGACGGTCATACGGGTCAAATGGAGGTCACAAAGGTCACACAGAGATCAAACGACAGTCACACAGGATACATGGACATCAACCACGTCACACAGAGGTCACAGAGATCACATGGAGGTCGTTTAAGGACCAAGGTAACAAAAGTCATACAGAGGTCGCACAGGTCATGCGCAGGTCACAGGTCATACAGGGGTAACACAGGTCATAGAGAGGTAACCAATTCGCACAGAGGGCATGTGGGTTATACAGACGTGACACAAGTGACCCGGAGTCCACTCACTACCATCCCTGACACATATGAAGGCGGCACTGACCGTACACGGTGTTTTCGACCATGACGATCTGCCGCTCGACGGCCTGGATGCTGAGCACAGAATAGGCGCGCGTGGTGGTAACGTTCATCTGGCACTGGGTGCGCGAGAAACGCTCCAGGTTGGCCGTGCTGTTGCCGCAGTAGAAACCGTCCCTGGTGACAGGAAAGAGGTGCGATTTGGTGAGCGAACGGTACGTGGTGTTCGTCGCATGGCGCTCGCTTAGAGGTAGCTGAGTATGTACAGAGCACACAGCTGGACATGTAAATATGTTGCCGCAAAATTCTTCCATCCTTGCTTGTAAATAATGAACGAAATTATGAGTCATTTGCATTTCATTTCATTTTTACCTTGATCACCGTCGGTGTAATGTTAGCAGTTTTAGCAACAGGTTATCCCGTTTCCTCATCATCTCGTGTATGTGTTCAGTACTCACTTTCCCGGCGTGAGGAACTTGAAGCGCCGCTCGCGGCAGGCGATGAGTGCCTCCTGTAGACTCTCGGCGGCCGTGACGCGCACAAAGTGGGCCGGCGCGGCCGTGCACTCCCAGTCGGCCAGGCCGGCCGGCTGCAGCTGCACCGTGAAGCCGGGGTCCAGCGCGGCCTGGCGACGGCGCAGGTAGGCCAGGTCCTCCTGCGGGATGGTCACCGTCTGCCGGCCGGCCATACCGCACCGGCAGCCGCGACTGCGGGCAGGGGTGCAGGGTGCAGGTCACAGGTCACAGCAGTAGGATACAGGTCAGAGGTTACAGACACAGTACTCGTATGGTGTAGTTTATTACGCATAGTATAGGGTGCAGGTCATAAGTCAAAGAGCGACACAGGGTGCAGGTCGTATCAGGGCACAGGATACAAGACACAGTATGGTAGATACGGACCTTTTTTTACATCATTTCCATCTAAATTGTTGGCTGCAGGTGCGAGGGTGGTTTGCTTACTAGTCGACCCTGGCGAAGTCCTGGCCGAACTTGTAGCAGAGCTCGCCGCAGCCTCTGATGTCCAGTGGCTTGTAGGCGATGTTGGACACGGTGCCCCAGATGACGTCGGACGGGGAGCGGGCTGACACCCAGAACTGCATGTCTGCCCACAGAACAGGGCGACCGCGCACCTCTCATACCGCGTATAACGATTGTTATACATTGGTTTTGCATATTAGGTAACATACTTACTTAACCCTATTAGTGGCAGGCTCCTGGCTACCCCTATTAGTGGCAGGGGGGCTGTTTACGACCCCCCTTGATATCTCGAGATCTAACGGGCCGATTTTCAAAATTCAAACGGCATTCGATTTCGCTCAACGAGATCTACATTTCTAAAAAAAAAATGTCAATAGGGGGGTAGAGGGGGGTAAAAACGGGCAAATTGCAGATACATTTTAGACTGTTTATCACGGCCAGGTTTCTGGACCAATCTTAACGCAACTTTTGCCGATCGATAGAGAATGAACCAGGAATTCACATGGATCCTAAAAATATGCATTTTCAAAAATCATAGGCGGATACAGATCATTGAGATTGGGGGTACACAAAAAGTAAAGTAAATAAGGTTTTTGTTGGTACTGTTTCTAAAAAGGGTGGCAATGGTCTTGTTATGTTACAATTTTCTTATGAGAGAACGACTAAAATTGTATTGGTCATGCATAGGCGGTGTCAGGGCACCTATGTTGGGAGGTAAAAAATAACCCCCCTTTTTGGACGCCTGGATCCGCCTATTATAGCAAAAACGTGTCAAAAGAGGATGCACAATAACTTTGTATATGTTATCACATGATACCTTTCATTCACTGTTCGTAAAACTGGTGCCGCATCGTGATCTTCGCCCAAATGACTCGCCTCACGAATAGGACCCCCAATTCCCAGTGCTCTGGAGCCGCCCCTGGTAAAGTTATGAACTTGAAATTTTCAGGGAATGTGCCCAATTTAGTTTTAGGAAAAGTCAGAAAATTTCAGCATCGTAGCTTCAGCGGTTTCGGAGATATTCCCGAAAAACCTGACTGAGGGGTGGATAAAAACAACCCCCCCCCCCCCCCGCCACTAATAGGGTTAACCAGCGAAGGGGAACCTGTCATAAAGATACCTACTGCCCATCATCTATCATTCGCCGATCTAGCCACGCAAAACGGTAAATGAAGGCGCCGCCGATCTCCTATTTGGGACGGGGCGCCGCCGATGCGCCGCTGGCGCCCCGTCCTCGCTCGCCCCAGTAACCCATTCTCACCTGGCTGGAGGCGCGCCAGGTCCTTCTGGAAGAAGGTGACGTCGATGATGTGGTAGGCGGCGTCGGTGCACGAGCCGATGGTGAGCGGCGCCACGCTGCTCCAGAACTGACAACCGCCGGTGCCGACGAGGAGATAGCGCACGCCGCGCCGCAGCGCCTCCAGCCAGCACTGGTCGACCGTGGCGTACCGCGCCTCCCACGGCCGCCGTGTGGGGGTCACGGAGCAGAAACAGCCACCTGCCGGGACCGCTACAGGGATAGATATCGCCGCAGAACGCCATGGTACCGCAATGCTCCACGGTAACATTGTATGGACTAGCTCATGTACTTGCCGCTGTTACCGAACAAGTCTCAATAAGTGATATAAGGTTGATCCATTTTAAAATTCTGGCCGTTTTCGAATGACATGGCCAAGACGTAAAAAAGGCTCTGTGATTTCGTCCTGGTTAGCTTATAAATTACAAATTGCATTTTTGTAACTTGTTACAAATTTGTTACAATTTACAATTGACATCCTTTCACCGCTTACAAAAAAACTCACGTTTTCTATCTTTCATGGCCCGCTGCACGTTGCTCTCGATGTGTTGTTCGGATGGCTGGAGCTTCCTTATGTTGTTCCGGGCCTGCAGGAGCAAGTTGCCAGTCCCGCTGCTTACCGCGTCCGCAACAGCTCCTGTCAGTACAGGAGGACTCCGCTCGTCATGCTTCACACGGGAGATTACTATCATTACGGTCAGTCTCATATCATTTGGAAGCCTTTCCTCTAGGGATTGAACTGTATGATATTTTCAGCCTAGGAAGACGAATCATTGGTCGGACACTTGACCGTTGCTAGGATGAGCTCAAGGATCTCCTGTAAGATAAGACGTGCACACAGTACTGGTGATGCAAATTATTTCATAAGAGACGCTTTCGTTGACCGTCACGTACCCTGTCCTTTGGCAGCGAGCGTCGCCACGCCTTTCTGGATGGCGCCGGCCGCGCTCCGTCCGGTCAGCCCTGTCGGTATGATCATGCGAGGTTTGTTATTTAATTATTTATGTTTTGTTTATTTATTTATTTATTTATTTATTTATTTATTTATTTATTTATTTATTTATTTTTCCTAACATCCACGGGCATGGGCACCCAATACCCATTGATGGACGTAGTCCAATATACATACCTACATATCACAAAAATTATACGAACAATTTGCGTGTAACATACAAGCTAATAACATTTTGTGTTTCTGTTGCTCGCATTGTCGCGTATTTCTACTTTTCGGCTATGTGGTCCGCACCAAAAATTTATCTGCTAAGAAACCGCCAAATAGGAGTAAAAGGATACGTCTATATAAGTAAAAGTATATGCCGGCTTATACGCATGAGAAACTGCATCAAGCGCTAACGAGTACAAGATTGACCATACCAACTATAAGGTAAACTACTTGTGCTGATCAGCAAAAAGTGAAAAAATGTGACCTGTCATGTCAATCCTGCATGTCCGCGATAACAACTGTTCTTACGAAAGAATGCGAAGAGACAGACATAAATCAACCATCAACGGACGCAAAATAGTAAACGGCAGCTTTATACAGGAACTGACCTCGCGCATACAGGCTCGCACGCTCGGTGGCGTCAGCAAGCATGACTGTCAGTGCCTATATACGTATATGGGGCAATTTATCTGTCAACTAGCTGTCAATAATTCACGACTTTGACCTGTCAACGGCACATACGAGTATCTACCCTGTCATCACTACCACGTCGTCTGCACACGGCAAGCCTAAATCTGTCAACTATACAACTCTAGCCTGTCATCTGCACATTGCAAAACCTCAATCTGCCGCCCGCACACTGCACAGGTCATACCCTTACCCTCCGCAGCCGAGAGCTCTGACCTGGCGACTTTGCCGGTGTGCAGTACTGCAATTTGGCGTCGAACGCCAGCCCTTTGGCACACTTCTTCACGACGTACCGGCCGCCGGTACAGTGGTAGTAGCGTGTCGGGTTCTTGTGCGGAAACATTCCGTTACGGGTGCGACACGGACCTGCGAAGTCAGACGTCGAAAAGGGAAAATACATAGAGGCCGGTCAAGATAACAATTCATTATGTATATCATATATGTAGTGTGTACGTTTTAATTTACTTGTTAATGCGTATTGAACTTACGAGTAGCGGTAAACGTGTGGATTTAAACGATTAAAACGATGCTGCTCTAGTTTTGCAATTGCTCGCCGATGAAAGTGTCTGATTTTGTGCACGCAAGTAGGTAAGAAGGCGCTTATCTGTGCGCTGTCTTCTGAGACTCGTAAAAACTGTCTTCTCTGGGAGACTAATTAACTACATGCGCATTGCATTACCTTTCTTCGCTTTGGCAACTGAAACGCCTCCGGCGTCTCTTGCCAGAGATGCACCTGAAATTGAAACAATGAGGGCGTTAAGACACGATTATTATCGCTACAAATGCATAACATCACATTGAGCTCATCATGTGTATACCTAAACGGGAGTATAAAATATACAATTAACGATATACGCTCTGACCTGAGGTGCCATTGATGCACCAGATACCTCCTATGGTTTTAATTGATTAGCAGATCTTGATTAGTCAAATCCACTCGCTACCCCAGTATCTAACGACTCCTATTTCCGAGACAGCTCACCTGACACACTTCCGCCGAGATCTTGGGCCATATTACTGTACAACATCCTCGTGGTGGCCTTCGACTGGCCGCCGGCTGCGGTCGCCCCCGGCGGCAGGAATATCTGCCGTTCGGCCGGCTCCTCCTCAGCATCGGAGTTGACGATCCGACCGCTGCTCGACACGGCCTCGCGCTCGCTCTTGGGGATCATGGCGGCCCGGATGCGTTTCTCGTCGGGTCGCACGGGCCCGTCGTCGTCGGCGGTGGCGCGCTCACACTCGGCACCCACCTTGTCCACTCCGCCTGTTAGGGGGGGGGGGGGCAGGGGAGCCCAATCAGTTTCAGGTAGTCTTAGGAGACGGCCGCTCAAAGCTCAAGCATCATTCATATCTATTGAACTGCAGGCTAGACAGTGGACGTCTTATTTCACTGCATATACTTTTCTGCATGTGACGATCGCTACTAAAATGGATGTGATCGCACATGCAGCTCTGATCGAGGATCAATAATCACACCTCCGCCAACTCTCGGGTCGGGGCTGCTCTGCTCAGTGCTGATCACACCTACAGCCCAAGGGTCCGGGGGGGGGGGGGTAAGGATCGGCGCCCCCCGCAGGGGGCTGACCGTGGTCGGAGCTGCTGCTTAGCCGGGGTCATCTGGCTCCGGCTGTGCGGCGGCTGTGACTTCGGCCAGTAAGGGGAGTAGCGCCCCCTCGGCCCCAGCTTGGCGCGCGTTTGACCTGGACTTGCCTTGCTTACTGGATGGATTGTCTGCAGGATTGGCCCCGCAGGGGGTTGGCAGTGGCCTGGGTCGCTGTTGGACTGGGCTCCTTGGGCCCTCGCCCCGCGGCGGTCCTGGCCTCGGCCAGCAAGGGGAGTAGCGCCCCCTCGGCCCCAGCTTGACCCATGCTTGCTTACGATTTGCTTTTGATCACTGAATGGACAGATGGTACGGCCCGACTTTTCTTGGTTTCCGTGGTTTTGTTTCTCTTGAGCGGTCTTTGTTTGCTTTTGCTTTGCTTCTCACCGGATGTCCGCGTTTCGTTCGATCACAGCTTTCTGATTCCTTTCCCCTTTTTTTCGTTGTTTTTTGCACCCGCAGGAACACAGCCGAGTTGGGCTAGTGTAAGGGGAGTGGCGTCCCCTCGGGTACCAGCCGGTTTTACTAGGCTAGGCGAGCCGACCCGTACCCCAGGACAACGGGATCCTGGAGGTTGAGCCCCCCACCGTGCGGAGCCAGTCGCGGTGGCTGGGCAACACGCCTCTTTGGCCCTGAGTTCTGTAAGGGCGGGACACTCAGTGGGGCGCCGCACTTGAGGAGCCATTCCCAGTCGTGATGCCGCCGGGGGTGGTGTCGGAGAGGTGTCGCCGGCGGGGTTCGGGCACCTGTGCTCGTCCTCCGTCGGTGGGACTGATCTGTCGCTGCCCCTGGCGGTGACTCGGCTAGGCGTCAAGGGAGGAGGCGGTATCCGACCGTGGGGGGTGGTGAGTCTCTCTCTCCCCCTCGGAAGGTGCCGCCAAGTCCCGTACAGTCAGCTCGGCCGTCCCAGGCCTTGTAGCGGCGCCGTTGCGGAGCGTCGGCGGCCGAGCTGGCGGAGACCAACAGACTCGCATGGATACATTGACCAACCCCTCCTCCCCCTCTCTCACCAATCCCTCGGCTTCGGCCGATTCTCGCCCGCCGGCCTCGGCCGACGGGCGAACGTTGCACGTTCCAAGACAGAAAAATCCCAGAATCCTCATCTTCCGGAGCGCAGACAGGGAGCTGAGCTCCTTGTCGCCCTTCCAGCGAAAGGACGGTTGTGACCGGTTTGGCAGCATCGTCCGCTGCGACCGCATGCGGGACGGAGCACTTGAGGTGGAGTTCCGGAAGGGCGAAGAGGCGACGAATGCCTTAACTGCCACTCGATTCGTGTACTCGGAAGGACGTGCCTCCGGTCGGAAGCTCGTTTCTTTGCCGCTGACGGTGGAACCACACCGCTCCAAGAACTCCTCTCGAGGAGTTATAAACTGCTTCGACTTGAGGAACGTGAGTGACGAGGACATCGCGGACGGGCTCTCGGAGTACGGCGTGACAGCCGCCCGCCGCATCCTCACGCGAAGAGGCACGGTCCCGACAAATAACATCATTCTTACATTTGACACCACCGACATGCCGAACGAGGTCCGTGTGGGGTACATCAAGGTCCGCGTGCGCCCATACGTCCCGGCACCCATGCGCTGCTATCGGTGCCAGAGGTTCGGCCACACGAAGGACAACTGCCGGGGTAGACCCACATGCTCCAAGTGCGCTTCTCAGGACCACACTGACGATACGTGCGACTCGGAGACCCCTCGATGCGTCAACTGCGGAGAGGGGCAGAAACCGCACTCCGCGTATGACAGGTCCTGCCCTACATACGTCAAGGAGAAGGAGATTAACACCATCAAGGCTACCAGGAATCTGTCATTCAAAGAGGCCCGGGAGGTATATAACCAAAATCACCCGAAGACCTCGTATGCCCAGAAGGTGAAAGTGACAAACTCTACCGATGCCTCCCAGATGAGCGTGGCACAGCTCGTGCAGCTTCTCAAAAGATTTGGCCTCACTGTCGTAGCCACTGGTGACTCCGCGGACTCTTCGGCGCCTGGTGCGCCGCCGAGTGACACAGAGCAGACTGCTCAAGAGTCAGTGTGGGGTCCACCCAGTCCCGCTCCAGCTGCGAGCGGTGAAGGAGACGATTGGACCGTCGTCCAGCGCCGACAGGGTGGTCGGCGCCCCCCGGCGCAGGGTAAGGCGCCATCCACCCCGCCCCGCCCCCGACCGCCCACGGCGGTGCAGGAGGCTCTGCGGCGGGGAGAGGAGGAGAGGAGGGCACGAGAGGCGAGGAGGGCTCGCCTCGTTCAAAAGGCCATTGAGGCTAAGGAGGCCTCTGTTGCCGCCTCCGCCTCCGGGAGTGCCAATGCGGCTGTCGCCGCTGACACCCCGGAGACCCCTCAGGCGGGGACTCGGCCCATCATGGGTCCCCCGCCGCCTCCTCCACCTCCGCAGCGGCGGCCACCACCGCCGCTGCCAGAGACGCCTGTGTCGAGGACACAGGCCGCCGCCTCGACATCCCCGTCGGGGCGGCAACAGCCTTCCGCGGCTCCAGGGCGCCTCGCCAAGCGGCAGACGCCCCCGAGCTGGTCGCCCTCGGAGGGTGACGCCCCCCGGGCGAAAAAGCCCCAGCAGGGCTCGAGCCACGCCCGATCTGCCTCTGCTGAAGGGAGGCTACACCGAGAGGGCTCGGGGCATCCCCGTATCCGCTACGGGGGGAGCGCCTCCTCGGAGTTAGAGGACCTAGTCTAGTCTTTCAGTCTAGTCATCTCCTCTTTTATCCTTTTATCTCTCTCGCGCTATTGCGCTTTTTTTACCAGGTGCATTTCTCTCGGTGCTTTTTACCTTTTTTGTGGTCAGTCAGGTATCTGTGTGCGCCTTTGCCTCATGTTATACGCGCCCTTTCTGCGCCTTTTTAACTACGCCTTTTATTCTACAGTGGAACTGTAGAGGCCTCCGGGCCAACTACCAGGACCTACAGTCTCTTATCCGTTGGCGCACACCCCTTGTTTTAGGTCTCCAGGAGACCAAGCTAGCGCCAAACGTTACCTTTGCCATCAAGGGCTACTCTGTTTTTAGAAGAGACCTGGACACCCCGACCATTGCCCATGGAGGTGTGCTTCTGGCGGTTCACCACAGCGTACCTGCGCGCCAGGTGCCGCTGCAGACTCCCCTGCAGGCGGTGGCCGCCAGAGTTGATTTCAACCACCGGGAACTAACTGTATGCTCTTTATACCTTCCACCAGGTATAGCGCTCCCGGTGGCTGAGCTGCATCGACTCGTCGATGAGCTTCCACCTCCGGTCCTGGTAGTCGGCGATTTTAATGCCCATAGCCTGGCGTGGGGATGCGACACGACTGGCACTCGTGGTCGACTTTTAGAATCTTTTATCCGCGATGAGGCGCTGTGTATTTTAAATACAGGACAGCGCACCCATTTTACAACACCCTCCGGTCAAACATCGGCTCTGGACCTGAGCTTAGTCAGTCCACGGTTAGCTCAGCTTTTTACCTGGTCCGTCCATGACGACCCACTCGGGAGCGACCACTTCCCAGTGTGGCTGGAGCACCAGGAGTCCCCAGTGTCAGGCAACCGACCACCTAGGTGGAATGTTCGGAAAGCCGACTGGGGCGAATTCCAGGCCGCTGTAGAGGCCTCTGTTTTATCCAGAGCCGACCCCTCTGTGATGTCTACAGAGGATTTTACATGTTTACTCATTGACTCCGCAAACGGGTGCATACCCAAGACGTCGAGTCAGCCTCGTCGTCCTCCGGTCCCGTGGTGGACCAAGGAATGCGGAGATGCGATTCGTGCCAGGAAGCGCGCTTTTAAAAAGTTTGACCGGAGTAGTACTACTGAGAACCTCATCGCTTTTAAGAGAGCGCGGGCTTTTGCCCGACGCGTTTTAAAGGAGGCAAAGGCTGTTTCATGGCGCACTTACGTAAGTTCCTTAAACCGTTTTACTCCTACGACCCAAATATGGGCACGCATGAAGCGCATTGAAGGCCGGTTCAGCTCTGTTCCGCTTCCGGTTTTAAGAGTGAACAACACGGACATATCTCACCCTTCAGACGTCGCAGAGACGATAGGCCGTGCACTCTATCAGCGCTGCCGAGGAGAGCCGTCCTCACGACCTGCACCAGCCGCCGTGGACTTCAGCACAGCTGAAAATTTGGTGTACAACGAGCCTTTATCTATGGCTGAACTCACGTCTGCCATCAGCTCGTTGCGCAGCGTCTCAGAAGGTCCGGATGCTGTCCACAACGACATGCTCCGTCATCTCCCGGCAGTTGGGGCGTTCCACGACAGATCGACCAAAAAAATCGCGAAATAACACCCTACCTCTCATATTTTGATGAAATTTCGTCTATGGGGTTATCTTGTCCGGCGATTCGTGTTGTGACATTTTCAATCTCATTCGTCCAATACTTTGGGAGATATTGCCCCAGGCAACTTAATGGCTACTATAAAAACTCTAAGTTTCATCCGCAAATATTTAGCTAAATACTGATTAGATTCATATAAAACTGCATATCATCACAATAAGAATTAACCAAAGATTTTGGTGATATCAATTATTTTTGAAAATTTTGCTCTTTTAATTTTTTAACATAAAATTGATTTATAAAAATCAAATTTTGAGAACGTGGCCATCTTTTTTTAAAATTTATTTTTGCAACAAAAGTCTTGTCAACGCATTGACTTTCAATGATGAAAATATTAAAAAC